GAGCATCAAGCCATCTGACGCGTCTGCCACTGTATGCCAGCACCAGATGAGCACGCAACTGCAGATGTCATGCCCGGGGTGTGAGCAGGTGTGTACTCTGGAAGCCTGAAAAGCTGCCACCACTAGTCTTCAGTGTCCCTATGACACTTACTGTGTGACATACCGCTGAGAACCCTACTCCAGTCATCACCGTCTGCAGCCTCCTTAGAATTTTTTTGTTTCTGTTCATATAAAACCCAAGCGAGTATTATTTTGATCTTGGCTCTAAGGGGGATATAGACTTTGGTGAAGCCTGTTTGAGTTGCGAGGCTCCTCTCTTCGAGCCTCTCGCAGAGGACTTGCCCACGCCTGCTCTGCACATTTCTACTCGAGTCTGTTTAGGGGTTTAGGGTTTAGAGCCGGGAACAATATCATCGTAATCGACCGCGTGAAGGAGAACGAATCGTGATTCAGGTGTCATGGAAAAGTGCACCCGCTTTGGCCGCTCTGGGGCGTTCAGCTTTAGAAGGGATTGCCATCACCGATTCCGCAATCTCCAGTTCACAGGCCGCCGTAGTTCTACCACGCACAGCCCACACTACACAAGGAACCCATCACGTGAGGCCGTTGTCTAATTCGCAGCAATGAGTCTGTCCACCCAGCTGGACCACTTGTCAGAGCCTTGGACCTCTGTGCAGGCAACTTTTTGATTCAACCATCTTCACCACAAGACAGAATCATCATCATGCGTTAGAGTGGTATCCAGGACTTCTTGCTAGCATACAGCCTGGTACTAGCAATGATCACAGCAAGTGCTGCAGCTGCATCAACAGCTTGGGCCGCATTGAGCTCCGCCTCACCGCTCTTCTACTACAGGCTTGGCTATGTGGGCTCGAAGAGGTCGAGGAGTTTGGCGGGCCATAAGCTCAGATGTTGCCCAACATGTTGCAGGAGGTGGTCTTCAGTGTGTGTGTGTGTGTGTGTGTCTGTGTGTCAAAATGCAGCTTCTTCGTGACACAGGTTGCTTGACACCAGCTTAGCCAGGTTCATGATCACGACAGCCGTTCTGCTCAAGCTTGCAGCTTTGTACAAGAAATGCGGCTGTGATTAGCGGGCTGGGGAACCGTAGCCCTTCGCCGTGAAACCATCGGCGAGAGCCTGCCTTCATATCTAGCGCGATGCATGCGATCAAGGCTGGTCATGCCCAAGCCCACATACAGCACAAAAGCAAGCTACATGTTGTGCCACAGCATAATCTGAACCGCTGCAACCAAGCAACACAAGATGAAAGCTGTACAATGCTTGTTTCTGGTGTCTATGTGTATTTATACATTTACATGCACATGTGCACGTACATACACATGTATGTATATATATATATATATATACACATACTGTATTCATGTATTTACCTGTACATAAATATGTAACATGTACGTTCACATGTGCGTACATATACGTACATATCATACACATGTTCGCGCACGAACACACGCACAGACACAGAGTCTTCACCAGGAATGTGTGTGTCTGTATATATATATATATACACATGTTTTTCTTCAGTTATATATCAAACCCACATGAGTGGCATTCAAACAGTCTTCAAGGCGGCCCTGACGTTCCCTCGAGGTAATGGTGCTTCTCATCGTATTGCACCTCGGTGCATCTGCCGCCCTGCAATCCAACGAGGTTTGTGCTTATCCTGACGAGGACTATAGTTGCCCTTATAGACCCCTTTAAAGGAACCCTATTCTAATTATTAAGGCCTCTATACTAGTACCAATATTTACTACTAATTAATATTCATACTACTACTAACAGTAATACTAATACTAATACCATATCGAGGACCTCTCTGGAGGAAGCAGCGCTCGGAACATCGCCGCAGGGTTGAACGTCTTCGCCACCTTGGTGGCCTGCATGTCACCGACACAGAGGCAGAGATTCACTGCGGCTTTACACCTCGCGATGGCCTGAGCTCTTCTGAGAAGAGCGAACTCGAGTTAGGGCCCAAGTCTTAGCTACAGTAGTAGTAATAGTAATAATAATATTGATAATAAGAATAGTAGTAGTAATAATAATATTAATAATAATAATAATACTAATAATAATGATAATAATAATAATAATAATAATAATAATGGTAATAATAATAATAATAATAATAAGCATCTTCTTAAGATGATAGGTATGTCCGTTCGCAGCGGTGGCAGTGGTAGAAACAAGAGTGCAGAAAGCAGGTAGCTCATAGAGGGTTGCTGCTCTATCGTGACGTCCTTGGGCTGAAGGTGACTGCAAAAACAAGCTCCACTTGCACCACCACCATGCAACAGCCGCCATTTGTCCAATCATAGCTTTTTCTTGACACCTCCGAAACCTTTTCTCATACCCCTGGTGGCTTTCTCGCCATGTCTTGGGGTCCGTGGGGCCCGCGGAAGGAGAGCAAGGGCAGCTCCGTATCCCCGCGGTCGAAAGAGCCGCGATCGGTGTCGCCTTTGCAGTCTCGGTGGTCTTCCGCCCGCCAGGCAGTGGAACGCACGGTGAAGACTACAACAGCTGTCAACGCGCTGTCTCGAGCTGCACGGTCGAATTCGCCGAGACCACAGCCGGTTGGTTCAAGTGTAGTGGAGTGGGCGGACCACAAGCAGCTGAAAGAAATTGCCAAGGACCTTCAGCGACAGCTGCAACGAAAGGAAGCGGACACCCAGAGGCTAACGGAACGAGTACAAACCCTGGTGGTCTTGCGGGATGAGCAGCTGTCAGAGATTCAAGCGGAGAGCCGCCGTTTGCACTACGCTTTGGAGCAAGAGGAGGCGGGACCAAGCGGGAGAACATCAAATCATCAAGCCCTGACTGAAGCCCTAGCTTGTTTGAAGCCAACTCCCGTTTACGAACCCAGATCTCAAACCCGAAAGGTTGAGGCTTGAAGCAAGGCCCTTTATGAACCCATATCTCAAACTTCCCAAACCCTAAACTCCTAAACTTGAACCCTCAACCCCAAGCGTAATCCCTACAGACTCGAAAGGTTGAAGTGCATCGCCTCCGCGGACGAGATTCCGAACTGCAAGAGGCTCTGGCGGCCGAGGCATGCGTACATGGAGCCGCGTTTGTTGAAGCTTGCGTCTCTATATAGGTGCGTATGTGTATATATATATATATATATATATATATATACACACACATACAGATATACGGTAGCAGTATATATAGTAGAGACCTGTATGCAGATCAAAGAAATCGACGATACGTAAATCAACAAGTATACCAAGTAAGTAAACAAAAGACTAGCGTCATGTACATGCATATGCGTCTATAGAAATGTCTATATATACATATGTATATATACATATACACACACACACATATATATATATATATATATATATATATATGTATGTGCGTTGAGCAGGTTTGTAAGGGTTCTTCAGGCCAAGGTTTGAGGCTTATCCTGCTAGTCTGCTTGCTTGTGTCTACTTCTAAGGTTCTCACAACCACAGGCAGGCATAAAACCCTGTACCTTCAGTATCAGACTCTGATTTTCGCCCTTATAGGAGCCTCAAAGGCACCCTGAAATCCGGCAACGCCCCTCTTACTTTTTTCCCCTCGGAGGTCTCTGGGCGACAGCGGGCTGAGCAGCAGCTGAGACAGCCCTGCAGGGACTGCGCCGAATACCGCGCGCAGCACACGGAGACGATGGCCGACTCTCAGAATCTACGGACGCAGCTGGTTGAGTTTGAGGCTCTGAAGCTCCATCTGAAGAATTCACGAATGGGCCAGGAGCGACTGCGGACTCGACTTGTGCAAGATCTTACGCAGCTCTTAGCGCGACATCAAGATACGAGCAGGGAAGGCTCACCCGACACTGCCGGACACGCTTCTCCCCGTGCAGAGATCCCTGAAAAAGTGCGGTTTGCAATGAGCTGCCCGGGTCTGCAGTCTTCAGGTCGAGGGAATACTATATTTTAGGGGTTCCTTATTATAACTAATAGTATAATGGGCCCCAAAACCCTATTCTAATGATTAAGGGCCATGCCTTGCACGTGAGCTGTAGAAGGGCATCTGCACACAATGCCTTTTGCTCTCGAAGCCATTCTCGAACGAGCACCTCTCGCCATCTCCCGCTGATTCACCTTACAGTCCCAGATCGTCCGTAAGGCCCGGATCGTACCCCGGAAGTCCCGCTTGTTTGAGCATACTCTTCGAAATTACCACAAGCAAGAGGATTCATAGGATGAAGGTCCCTGTCGCGACACCCATTCAAAGCTCAAGGCGCTAAAAGGAACCGTTTGAAAATCCATCAAAGCACCGAACAAAAACCGCCCCAAACCCCTGTAAACCACATTTTTGAGTCATGTGAATGCCGAGGCTCCCGAGCAAATGCAGCAGCGAGCCTCCCCCGCATTCCGCAAAGGACTTACGCGGGGTTGACGGTTGGGTTTAGGGCTTATAGAGTTGATGCTTTAGGGGCTACTGGTTAGGCGCAGGACCGATTCGACGATGTTTGTTCGCTGCGGAAGTGTTAAAATTATTATGGAGTTTTGTGAGCGTCAGGTCTTTGATGAACGATCCGAAGACGAGTAAGGCAGGGGGAAGCAGAAGTTTTCTGGATGTGTCCAGGACGTATTATGATTTAGAAGCTGCCCCCACCCTGAAATAGTGACTCTAAGGATGATATTAGTGCCCTACTATATTCCTATTATACCACTATTACAGGGTGGGGGCAGCTTCTAAATTATGACTCGTGACAGCTGTGAGCGGTATTGGCTGGTCGGGACCAGCTGCCAGTAATTATGATGCTTGCAGCACGCACACATACCTGGAATTGCAAAGGTGAGTTTGTCCGCCGCCGAGGCTGCCTGTGTACTGTAAGGATTCGCATGTTTATGGACATGAGGAAGAGTATTTGGTAGCGAAGCGTGCGCCGAACCGCCTCGTCAGTATATGATCCATCTAGGATTCGACTTACTTATTAAAGCTCATCCAGGCTTCGGTCATTTCTATAGCACCTTCCTGGAGCCATGGCCCATCAACCCGGCATTTCTGCAAAGAAGCGGAGCCGAGCCCTTCCGACAGCTGTGGTGATATGCGTCGGTGTGGCTTTCGCGGTGTCCCGCGCAGGCGAGGCCTTTGCCGGGACTTTTCAGCGCCTGCAGCTTCGAAACTCCATTCCGAACTACGGGCGCATGCGGGGCATGACGCCCACGCTCAGGCTGGCACAGGAGTCGGAAGTGAAAGAAGAGATCAGATGGCTTGATCCTCTTGATGAGAAGGCCGAAGAGATTACGCCGGCAGAAGATGCTACAGTTCTGCCAGTCTTTCCCCTTGGCGGCCCGTTCATGCCCTACACAAAGCAGTCCCTTCAGATCTTTGAGCCCCGGTACCGGCAGCTTTATGACAACATCTTGCTGTCCGGATCGCGGCGTTTCGTGGTCTGTCCGGTAGACCCAAGGTCCGAGGATTCCCTTCGCCTCGGTGAGGTGGGAGTGGTCTTCTATTTGGATGACCTCAAGGATTTGTCGGAGCAAACCCAAGACAGGGTGAAGTACGTCTGTGAGCACAGCGTCATCGGCCGGGTGAAGCTGAAGCGCGTCCTGAACCCGGCCGACTGGTTCTCTCGCTCCACATACCTGCGAGCTGAGACCGACCCAGTTGAAGACACAGACACCGATGTGGACTCCTCACTGCTGGAGCAGGAGGCGCGGGGCTGCTCCACAGTTTTTCTCGGTTCCTTAGTTTTGCAGCTTTTAACTCTGATTGCGGCAGCCCGATTGAAGCACATTTCCCAGGTGATGCAGCTGATGAGAGACCTGGTCCCTTTGTATGGGGAGCTCGGTCAGCCGACCTACGACGTGAGCCTCCTTGAGCGCAGGAACTCCAGCAGAGCAGAGGAGGGAGGGCTCTGGAGCCTGGGTGAGGTTTGGGTGCAGCTCCTTGGGGCGCAGCTACAGACGAAAAGGAAGCTTTTCGAGGGTCGGCTGCAGGACATTCTTCGCTCCTATGCGAAATCGGGTCAGACTGAGCTTCGCATAACAGATCTGCCTCCGGAGGCCTTGGCAGACATCAAAAGGTTGGAGCAGGAATTCCAAGCCATGGGCAACAAGATGGTGATGCAGCAACTCGAATTCGGCCAGTTGCTGATACAGACAGATTCCCACAGAGGACGTCTTGAGCAATTCAAGAGTGCCCTCGATGAGGAGTACCGCAAGCTCATAGCCCAAAAATCTTTGAAGTCTCTTGGGGACCGATGAGCTCTGTCCTGTGGCCTTGCCGAACCACTGGCAGTCCTTCAAAACTGGCATTCATTGCTTTCTACCTTACCACACATACATTGAAGTACATATATACCCGTAAGGGTAGACACATGCGCATATGCGCAATCTTGCCTGCAGGGAGCAACCTACCGGGTGTGTTGCTAAACTAGTAACTAGTAGCCGTGTGTTGGATCGGAAAGTTTTCTGAGACGGCCTCGGGCTGAGGCATCTCACCCATCCAAGTGGTACTGTAGGAAAGGACTGCGGGGCAGAGCAGGCCTTCAAAGGGCCGCAAATCGTATCAGTTCATAGGATCCCATCCCACATGCTTGTTTTCCAGCTTGAGACGGGGAGCTCACGACGGAACTGAGAAAAAAGTCACGCGTGCACCTGCTTCTCTCGACTACTCGCAGCTTCTGTGCTGTCTGGCTCGTATGCCGAAGGCTGTCGCCGTGATGAGGCAGGAGATTGAAAGGCAGCAGGTCGGGGCCCCTGAAGCCTTGGCAGTCATCAGGGCCTCTTCTTCGTGCCGACCTGTGAGGTGGACGTGAGCCCGAGTCGGCGCCATGGAGCCACCAGTTCCCATTTCAGGAAGGGAAGTCCCAGACGCCACGGCGCTGCCACCAGCGCAAACTGGCGAGCCTCTGGGAGCCCACGACGCAGTGGAAGAAGCCCTTCCAAGCGGGCCGGCTACGGAGGCCAGTTTGGCACCGGCGGCTACGCCACGGGCTACAGCCCGACCCCATCGAAGACTCTGCAAGGCCCAAGTGCAGCGAAAGTCTAGTCCAAGCACGTGTTCGGCGATGAGTTCTTTGATTGGACCTGCTGTTCAGGCGTGGGCTACGATGAACCAGTGGACCTGACCGGTGACATTGACGGAGGACTGCATTGTTGCTTCCTCGAAGTTGCAAACCTGCACAGGTCATTGGTCAAGCATGATTTTTGCGCTGTTGACTAAACGTGTGAGCGTCGAAATCCTGAAGATTTGGGCTCAAGAGCTTTCAAGTACAAGCTGACTGACTTTGCCCCTTGTATAAACCGCCGTAGGCCACCTGGTTGTACAATGGCCTGCTTGACAGCAACAGCGGTGTTGTTGCTGGCTTTTCCATTTGTTGAGGGTGATGCAGGTTGCGCTGGTGACCCATCCCGGAGCCGTGGTTTGTTACAAGTTGGCATGAGGAGCGACACCTTCCTGACAGATTCTGATTGGTTCCTCGGGGCCACTGGGCAGAGCTGTAGCGACGTTTGCAGCGCCGCTGGCAAGTTCTGCCACGAGTCCGGCATGTATGATGTCGACACCAAAGAAGAGATGTTGGCTGCCGCTCGGAAAGTGGGCTACAACTGCACCAAGTTGTATGGCTGGGCCTACGACAACAACCCGGGGATTTGTGTGGATTCTAGCTGCTGTGGCGGCAGCTGCATCGGTCTCTGTGCATTTGGCACGACCAAGGTTCGCACCTGCAAGGGGACGAGCCACTATGCGAGGCTTTGTGAGTGCTTCGCGCATGCAGAGGCCACCAGCACCACCACCCCAGCTGTGCTCTCGCCCCCGAAAGCCAAGCCTCCTGGATTTGCACGCAGCCTCTTCCTCCTGCCGCGCGACGTGGAGCTGATGCTGCTACTTGCCACTATCCCCGCAGCCTCCAAAACGGCTGGCGAGCCGGCGCTGTTGGTGATGCCGCAAAGTGGGAATGATGAGACGGCCTTCCTGGACTTTGTTGAGCAGTATCGCCCCGAGGAGACCTACGCGACTGGTGGTCTGAGTCTGGGCAGTCTGGAAGCGACGCTGGGAGATGTGAATGTTGTGGGAGGTGGCACACCTTGCGAGGCCTCAGAAGCCCTCGCCCGCAAGTTCTGGTCTCAGGCTTCGCAGCTGGTGGTGGCTCGGTGCGACGACTATACCTCTGCGCTTATGGCTGCCCCTCTGGCTGCCAAGAAGTCTTCGCCGCTGGTCCTGCTTAGCCATACAGTGGATCTGGTGAACTTGGCTGGCGAACTCAAGGTGCAGAGCCTGGTCTTCGTGGGCTCGGGTTCGGGCCCCGAAGCACCAGGCCTGCAGCAGATTCACCTGCAGACTGCGGAGGACGTCTTCGATGCGCTGGGGAAGCCTGACTACCTTGCCGTCACCAACCCTGCCGATCGAGAGCTGCAAGCCTACCGTGCCACGTCAGCTCTGGCCCCGCTCCTTGCGGCGCTCCGAGGAGGGGCTGTGCTTCCGCTCTCGGCCCAATTCCACAGCCAACGCTACAAAATCTCCTTTTCGGATATCCCCTTGTCGGACACCACCACCACAACCACACAGACTTTGCCGGACCCAACCTCGATATGTGAGAAACAGTGCGAGGAGGATGGCTTTTGCTGTGGTTGGAACAGTGGCTGTGGGCGCCCTAGCTGCGTGCTCGGATGTCACATTGCCACAGAGTCCGCCGACGTCACCGTCTGCCAGGAGACCTGTCGGTCCCTGCGTGATGGACAGGGCTGTTTCCCTACGGTTGCGGGTCGATGGGCCAATGTGTGCTCTTCCTGCCAGGGCTCCTGTTCTGGTCACTGCGAGGGCGAAGGCGGATGTGAACATGCCTGCTCCTTGATGGCTTATGCCGCAACAACGACAACCACTGTTGTGGTGGCGAATTGGGAGATTGCCCGTTGCCGCATGAAGTGTGCATCGGATGGCTATTGCTGCGACCGCGACAGTGGCTGTGCGGCCCCGAGCTGCAAGCTGGGCTGTGAGGTTGCATCAGTTTCACCAACTGCTGTGACATGCAAGGAACGCTGCCAAGCATTGACAGGGCACTGCTTTGTCGACCCTGTCAACAACAGCCTCGGTGACGTCGCGTTGTGTGGCTCATGCAGTGCCATGTGTGGCGGACATTGTGAGGCGGCTGGTGGCTGTGAGTATGCGTGTGACTTTGTGAGCTACTAGCTTACGAGCACCAATCCTTCTAATTCCACTCCGGTTGGCATGGTGTATCATGGTGTGTCTTCCACAAGGGACGTCTTGCACAGGAGAAAAAAGCTTGCGTGATGATAGTACTGAGCCTGGCTGCTAGACCCTCCGGATGCAACAGCAGACAGAGAGAGAGCCTGGCCTGCTGTGCGAGTGTGAAAGTCGAAGGAGGACTGCATTGTTGCTTCCTCGAAGTTGCAAACCTGCACAAGTCTTTGGTCAAGCATGCTTTTTGCGCTGTTGTCTAAACGTGTGAGCGTCGAAACCCTGAAGATTTGGGCTCTTAAGAGCTTTCAAGTACAAGCTGACTGACTTTGCCCCTTGTATAAACCGCCGTAGGCCACCTGGTTGTACAATGGCCTGTTTGACAGCAACAGCGGCGTTGTTGCTGGCTTTTCCATTTGTTGAGGGTGATGCAGGTTGCGCTGGTGACCCGTCCCGGAGCCGTGGTTTGTTACAAGTTGGCATGAGGAGCGACACCTTCCTGACAGATTCTGACTGGTTCCTCGGGGCCACTGGGCAGAGCTGTAGCGACGTTTGCGGGGCCGCTGGCAAGTTTTGCCACGAGTCCGGCATGTATGATGTCGACACCAAAGAAGAGATGTTGGCTGCCGCTCGGAAAGTGGGCTACAACTGCACCAAGTTGTATGGCTGGGCCTACGACAACAACCCAGGGATTTGTGTGGACTCCAGCTGCTGTGGCGGCAGCTGCATCGGTCTCTGTGCATTTGGCACGACCAAGGTTCGCACCTGCAAGGGGACGAGCCACTATGCGAGGCTTTGTGAGTGCTTCGCGCATGCAGAGACCACCAGCACCACCACCCCAGCTGTGCTCTCGCCCCCGAAAGCCAAGCCTCCTGGATTTGCACGCAGCCTCTTCCTCCTGCCGCACGACGTGGAGCTGATGCTGCTACTTGCCACTATCCCCGCAGCCTCCAAGACGGCTGGCGAGCCGGCGCTGTTGGTGATGCCGCAAAGTGGGAATGATGAGACGGCCTTCCTGGACTTTGTTGAACAGTATCGCCCCGAGGAGACCTACGCGACTGGTGGTCTGAGTCTGGGCAGTCTGGAAGCGACGCTGGGAGATGTGAATGTTGTGGGAGGTGGCACACCTTGCGAGGCCTCAGAAGCCCTCGCCCGCAAGTTCTGGTCTCAGGCTTCGCAGCTGGTGGTGGCTCGGTGCGACGACTATACCTCTGCGCTTATGGCTGCCCCTCTGGCTGCCAAGAAGTCTTCGCCGCTGGTCCTGCTTAGCCATACAGTGGATCTGGTGAACTTGGCTGGCGAACTCAAGGTGCAGAGCCTGGTCTTCGTGGGCTCGGGTTCGGGCCCCGAAGCACCAGGCCTGCAGCAGATTCACCTGCAGACTGCGGAGGACGTCTTCGATGCGCTGGGGAAGCCTGACTACCTTGCCGTCACCAACCCTGCTGATCGAGAGCTGCAAGCCTACCGTGCCACGTCAGCTCTGGCCCCGCTCCTTGCGGCGCTCCGAGGAGGGGCTGTGCTTCCGCTCTCGGCGGGTGCGCGTGACAGCGCTTCCGTTTCCGCAAGTGAAGTGAAGGAGGAGATCCAACAGTTTGTCTTCAGCAAGGGCATGCCCAAACATTTGGCCCTCGTTGGCGGACCCACTGCTATACCACCTCACTGCCAAACAGGTAGGCTTTTCAGCGAGCAGAAGTGCCGAGATGCTCCATACGCAGACTTGGATGAAGACATTTTTATGGATGTCGCGTTGGGGCGCGTCGTCGGACGCGATCTGTCATCCACAAGCCTGCTGGTTTCCCGCATCTCTAACTATGAGTACGTTCGGGACCCTGAGAGTGAAACAAAGTTTGCCGTCAGCGGACACCTGAAGACTGCTATGGCCAACATCCAGCCCGCGCTCAGGAATGTGGGCTTCGAAGAGCCGGTGTCGATTGGCTTCAAGGAGCTTGACAACCTGAAGAAGATTCATGTCTCTGCCTTCCTGCACACAGACCACTCTGGGGCTGGGGGCATGGGGAATTCCTTCGACTTCTCATCCCAAAACCTTCTCAGTCCAATGATGGTAAGCTCTGGCGGCTGCTCCACCGCCGGCTTGGACGAGTTGTCGGACCCCATGCACTCCGTCGTGCTGACCATGCTGCACTACGGTGCCATTGGCTTCGTGGGAGGACCACGCAATGCTATCACAGCTTCCGGTCTGGTACACAGTGCCCTTTGGAACGGCATCGCGGAAGGGAAGAGCATTGGAGAAGCCTTCCTGGAGGGCTGGAACGACGTGGCTGTCAACTACAAGGACCAGGACGGCTACGTCTTGGCAGAATACGTCATGATGAACATCGCCCTCTACGGCGATCCCGCTTTCAAGCTCTTTGTCCCGACGTCTCCACGGGAGCCGCTGCCCAAAGTGATCCTGGACGGTGAGACAGCCGAAGTGGCAGGGCCTGGCCACTGGACGAAGTTCAAGGCTGACGATCACATGACAGATGAGTGGAACTGGGATGGTGACCTCTACTACTACGGTGCCGTCGGAGCCCTCGTACAGAGGCAGTGGGTCGCAAGGTACGATCGTGAGTGGCCGTACTACTATGTCAGGATCAAAACTGACAAGTTTGTGCATGACGTGCTCCCTGTCACTCCCGTGCCAGCAGGCTTGGGCTACGTGGGAGCTTCCATGTCGCTGCGGGGCGAGTTTTCCGGGTCTGCGGGCAATAAGTGGCACCTGGACGAGCACGCGGATGGCACGAGGACACTTATGTGGCGGGTGCGGCTTCTGGACTACAGCTACGAGACGGGCGTCATCAACAGCCAATTCCACAGCCAACGCTACAAAATCTCCTTTTCGGATATCCCCTTGTCGGACACCACCACCACAACCACACAGACTTTGCCGGACCCAACCTCGATATGTGAGAAACAGTGCGAGGAGGATGGCTTTTGCTGTGGTTGGAACAGTGGCTGTGGGCGCCCTAGCTGCGTGCTCGGATGTCACATTGCCACAGAGTCCGCCGACGTCACCGTCTGCCAGGAGACCTGTCGGTCCCTGCATGATGGACAGGGCTGTTTCCCTACTGTTGCGGGTCGATGGGCCAATGTGTGCTCTTCCTGCCAGGGCTCCTGTTCTGGTCACTGCGAGGGCGAGGGTGGATGTGAACATGCCTGCTCCTTGATGGCTTATGCCACAACAACGACAACCACTGTTGTGGTGGCGAATTGGGAGATTGCCCGTTGCCGCATGAAGTGTGCATCGGATGGCTATTGCTGCGACCGCGACAGTGGCTGTGCGGCCCCGAGCTGCAAGCTGGGCTGTGAGGTTGCATCAGTTTCACCTACTGCTGTGACATGCAAGGAACGCTGCCAAGCATTGACAGGGCACTGCTTTGTCGACCCTGTCAACAACAGCCTCGGTGACGTCGCGTTGTGTGGCTCATGCAGTGCCACATGTGGCGGACATTGTGAGGCAGCTGGTGGCTGTGAGTACGCGTGTGACTTTGTGAGCTACTAGCTTACGAGCACCAATCCTTCTAATTCCATTCCGGTTGGCATGGTGTGTCTTCCGGGACGTGTTGCACAGGAGAAAAAAGCTTGCGTGATGATAGTACTGAGCCTGGCCTGCTGTGCGAGTGTGAAAGTCGAAGCCTTGAAGATGGAAATGTCCGGCAGGATCGCCGGATCGGGGCAAACGGGCCAGCCAGGAGCCAGGGAAGCGATGCTTTGGGTCGGGTTTCGGGGAACCTAGGTAAACTCAGCCAGAAATCAGAGAACGTAAGCATGTCGGCGTAGCCTTAAGCCCTACGACACTCTTCTATAGACCCAGGCTAGCAGGATTCCCAGGGATCCCTCAAAAAAGATCCTCAACATCAATGTGTCAATGAGACACATCCCACAGTCGTGTAACACTCTTCAGAATCCGGTAAAAGCTCACAAAACCGCGTATGACGGTCGGGTTCGGGAAGTTGTAGGATCTTTCTTCCGTAGGTTGAGCTTATAGCCCCACACCCAAACTCCCATACATTCCTTTTGAATCTTGTTGACCCTAGTTCTGCGAATCACTTGAGAGTGCTCCTCAGGGAGGCAAAGAGCGCGGCGGTTCGTTGTACTAAGTCATTCTGAGTCATGATACTATTTTTTGTATTCATTTGTGATAGCAGAGGATACCAACGTGTATATATTTAAAGAATAGGTATGTGCTTATCGCATGCTCTGTTTGCTCAATCGCTGCTCAGTGTCCTTGTCAGGCCAGAAGCCGTGGGGGCATACGGCTCAAACCTACCGGTCAAACAGACAGATGTGTGTAGTCAGGTGGTTGGCATGGACAATCAAGAGAGGCTTTTCATTCCTGATCCTGACGTTTACACTCATAACTTCTGAAGCATGCAGGCCAGTTCATCCTCAGCTGCATTGCCTCACTCACCCCACCCAAGTTCGTCAGACACATTGCTGTGCTTGGTTCTTGTTCACCTCGCTACGTTGCCACACCATGGCGGCATCCTTCCTGCCGCTTCACAAGCAGGCGTGGACGAATCTAATATAGAGGCCTTAATAATTACCTATACTATTTTGAGGGTTCCTTGGTATATTTATAGTATAATGGGCCGCAAAACCATATTCTAATTATTAAGGCCCCTATATTGGCTGCCAAGCCTTGGGAACTTCCTTCCTCGAGTCCCCGAGTGAGTTTTTGTCGGCGACGTGTCCCATGCTTCTTCTGGCCGCGATTTCTGTTATCACCGCCTCATGCTGTCACTGTTCCTACTTACTTGCTTGTAATTCACTTGTGAATGTCCGTGTAATGGCAAGCCTATACTAAGTACTATGATCATTTTCATTTGTCAACCTTGTAGTAAGCCTCGTTCGATAGGGTGTTGGGGCTACGAATGTTTGCGACCTCGTTTTGTTCGGCTCTACGCTTGGGACAGATCGGAGCTACCAGACAGAGACTCCTGTATCCCCTAAGATTGAATACTTAATAATAATAATAATAACAATAATAAGAATAATAATAAATAATACTAATAATACTAATAATAATAATGATAATAATGATAACAATAATAACAATAATAATAACAATAATAATAACAATAATAATAATAATAGTAATAATAATAATAATGATAATAATAATAATAATAGTATTGGTAGCTACATATTCAGATAAGCACTCATAGCAATACTAGCACGAATTTTAATACCAGTACTGATTCATGCTAGTACGAATAATTCTTAAGTTGGTACAATAGTCTGGAGTCCTTGGGCTATCGGAGGCCAATCTCGCGAGATGAATCTAGGACCACGATATGGACATTCTATTGTTCTGTGTGTTGCCATTCTTCTTCTTATCAGTGGTTTGTATTTTCCGAATGATTTGTGTTTTAACGTGTATTTTCAGAAACAGCAAGATGACCATCATCAATCATTCCCATTGTTGTTATATCTTCTTGGGTGAGGCACCGCCCCGGTCAAACTCGTTCTCGAAGCTGACTGCTTCTCCGGGATCGCGGCCAGACACGCCCGGACAGATCAAGTGGCTCAGCAACTTCATTAAGGTTCGCATGTGTGGAGTCAGGGTTCAGAGGTTACAGTTACAGGGCCTCAGACCAGTGGCAATAAAAGAGAGGTTACGCGGGCTTGCATTTTTGTGTCGCTGCTGTGCATTTGAGGTTAGCTCATCAAATTGGTTTGTATGCAATCTCGGGAAGGCTCCTTCTGAACGAGTCGAGCTTAAGAGAACTACGGCGCACTCTGCCCAAGTGCAGGCAGGAAGAACCTGCTTGTCTGTTTCATGACTCCCAGCTCACGAGCAAAAGTGCATGTCCTGTCACCGAGGCGAGTATCCAGGCCTTCGTCGTCCTCGTCGACGAGAGGAGGCCTGTCCCACCGGCCGGCTTTTGCCTTGAGATTGCCCTGCATCCTTGATGTTGACCCGGGAGGCACCATGGGCGCCTCGCTTCAGCAGTTGCCGCCAGAGCCCTCTTCTTCGTCTTCCCGGCCCAATTCGTCGTCCCGGCAAGGTGCACCTTAAGCATGAGGATGATGGCTGCAGTATTGCAGCACTCTTGGGGTCTTTGCAAAATGCAGTAAGACGAAGATGTTTCCGTGCAACTCACGGAGGCACTCTTGCAGCGTCGCTTCCGCAACCGCCGCCTGAGCCACCAGCTCAGTCCGCAGAGGCGAATGAACGGCGGTTTGTGACGGTAATGCAGGGGCCTGAATAATGATGATGGCACGGCAAAGAGAGAGAGAGAGAGAGAGAGAGAGAGAGAGAGAAATAATTACCTATACTATTTTGGGGTTTCCTTTTTATAGTTATGGTATAATGAATAATGGGCCCCAAAACCCTATTCTATGTATTCAGGCCCTCATATTAATTTTGGATAGCTTACAACCTCGCAGAAACGAAAAGCATGTGTCGCAGCACTGCGACTGCAACCTGCCCGGAGCTCATTTGCATGCCCATCTGCTTGCATCTACAGTCTTGGCTGCTGCCGCCGCCTGTGCTTACATAACCTTTGGGTAGAGCGACTCGGTGAACCAATCTGTGCTACCGCCACTGAATATGGCGCTGCTAAGTGCCATGCTAAGGCTGCTGCAGCTGCTACTGCTGCTACTACGGCTGCTAAACTTCTGCTACTGCTACTACTGGTGACAAAAAAGCTAAAGCTACTACTACTACTACTACTACTACTACTACTACTACTGCTACTGCTACTGCTACTACTACTACTACTACTACCACTACTTCTTCTTTGACCTGACTACTGCAACTGACTAACGACACCCATGACTACCCACTACTTTTCTACTCGCCACTAACTACTCTCTACCAACTACGAAAGGAGACTCTGTGAATTAAACGGACGGTTGTTCGATGACAAAGGAAACGAGTAGTTTGTGCATTATGTGTCGCAGGCCTTCGGCGACCTGCCGAACGCCGTGCCGGAGGTGTTCGAGGAGGTCACGCCACCTCCACCTCCACCTCCGCCACAGAGAAGGGAGGAGACGTCTCTCCACCAATTGAAACAGCCGTCGCACGTGACCATGGTGAACAATCGCCCGTACGCAGACTGCCAGTGTTGCAATGTTTGACTGAGCCGAGTCGCAAGCTTCAATGACCGTTCCATACTGTACCCCAGTGACAGGGAGCGGCTATTTACCAGTCGGCCATGCATGGTCAATGATGCCTTCAGGAGCACACGTTGGAGCGCCTCTCTCAGGAAGATCCTCTCAAGGAGCTGTGCTGGGTTGCAAACATGAGGATGGACCCATTCTGCCTGGAATCCTTCTTACTGGGTCGCAACATTCAAGGCTGCTTGATACCTTGGGGCATTTTGTGGGGAATCTGTTTGCCAGCTTGAAATAGCCACTTTTGCGGGTCTCATCTCGCACCCTATGTCTCGTGCATGTGTCGCCGGGCTCGCGGTCCCCCTGCCTGCTGAAAAGCAAGACTGCAGCTGCAAAAGATTTCCACTTTTGTCACGAGACCAGACACGAGACTTCCTGAATCTGCAAGCGTAACAGCCAGGAGTTGGGACTGGTTCGCCGCGACTTCGGCGACAACGATGACCATCTGTCAGATGATGATGTGCACCTCAGCCAGCGCCTACTATAGGGGCCTAAATAATGACCTATACTATTTGGGGGGTTCCTGATTATAACTGTAGCATAACGGGCCCCAAATCCCTATTCTGGCCCTATATTGCTCGTACGACTAAGATTTGGAGGAAGGCAGTCCCTCCTGCAGCTCTTGCCTCCCGCCGGGCTTCCCCGTGGTACCCCAATAAGAACCCTTATGGTAACGTTTGTAAGAAAATTAGGCGAAACCTCAATCGGAACCCTTATGGCCCTTCTGGTAACAATTTAAAAAATGAAAGGAGACCTCAATGTCATGAAGCCTAGGGCCCAGGGTTGAGCTAGGGTTCGTATGAGGGTGCTGGGCTGAGGTGACATTTACAGACCCTGAACATTGATCCGTGATTCAGTGATAAAGGATTATAGTAGACGATTGGAGGTGATAAGGCGGGAGTGTCATTGTCTGATTTTCGGCTCGCGAGAGGACAGGGGATTTTCAGTAGATTGTTATTTCGTAGGTATCACAGGGACCACCTAGCGCTGAAGTCACGGTGGGTGTTACAGCCAGCATCGTCACCACCACCACCACCACCACCACCACCATCGCAGTAGCGCTATTTCAATAAGCACACGATGAAGAAGATAAATCCAGTATACAGCCAAGCTAGAAACGTGCATGCAGATTATGACAGTCATACTTGCAACCACCATGGGCACCACTGTCACCGCATACCATGAGCCATCCCATGCAACTAATCTTAATGAAAACAACAACGACATTATATGGCGCAAGATCACGCCAAACGATGGGCCTCATGGCTGCAGAGTACAAATCTGTGAGCTCCGTGGCTGTTGAAAACGCGGTTTCTGGCAATAGGATATGCGAGTGCGATGTAACGGCCGATACGACAGTTGGAGTGGTACAAGAAGCCGTGCTTTGCAGTCTTCAGGAGAGTGGTAGCGCACAGGACTTGAGCAAGATCGTGTTGCTGCACCAGGGCAAGTTCTTGACTGATGGAAGACAGACTTTGCAACAAGCCGGCCTGCATGACACAGTCTGCGTCCTTCAAGCGCTGCAGTGCCAGCGTTCTCTTATGGCTGCAGCATGTGACGACAAGCATATCGCCTTGGTTGACGTGGAGACTCACTCAGCTATTCGCTCCTTCGTGGCTCACTCGGAACCTGTCCAGTGCGTTGCATTCTCGCCTGCTGGAAGATTTCTGGCCAGTGGCTCGCACGACTGCACGGTGCGCATTTGGGAGGTCAGTCAAAACATGCCTTGCGTGAAGGTGTTGCAAGGCCACCAGGATGCTGTCGCATCCGTTGCTTTCACACCTGACGGAGGCGGCCTGTTGACCGCATCCTGGGACGAGGATGCGAAGTTGTGGCGCTGGGAAGCCGGAGAGTGTGTTCTGACACTCTCAGGCCATGCCATGTCTGTCAATTCTGTGTCGCCCTCCTCAGATGGTCGGCTCATTGTGACAAGCTCCAATGATGAAACCGCAAGAGTTTGGTGCAGCGAGAGTGGCAAATGCTTGTCCGTGCTCACCGGTCATCGCCATTTTGTTGTTTCGGGCAAGTTCTCGCATGATTCGTGCACAGTGTTGACGGCTTCACTTGACCGCACTGCCAAGACATGGGATGTGACAGATGGCCACTGCTGCGTGACGTTTGCGGGTCACTCCAGCTTCGTGCAGTTTGCGGAGTACTCCTGCGATGGCAACTTGGTGGTTACTGCTTCCGAGGATGAGTCTGCCAAGGTTTGGAAGCTGAACGGGGAGTGCCTTTTTACTCTTTCCGATAATTCTCTTAATGCTTGCCTCATTCGTGCAACTTTCGACCCTCAAGACCAGATTGTAGTTCTAGCAAGCTATGGGGGCCACATCCACTTCTGGCAGGCTGGAGAGGATCCACGTTTGCTTTCCACCACCACACTTCGGCACAGATGCTTGAATGATGTTGCCTTCTTCTGGCCAGGGTCACTGTGAGCTTGGCGTGCATGGCTGGGACACTCGCAGTCCCTCGTCAGGTGCGTGGCATGTCGGAGAAGAGGGCGCAGGAGGAGGTCCCTCTTAGGCCCACGTGATGAAAAGAACTTTCAGAAAGTGCGGCAACTTGAACTTTGCACTTGCTGCCTCTGGCAGTGGGGAAAGCCGAGACGATCTCGCAAGTCTGGCATCCGTGGGTCCTCAAGGCCACCGAGCCAGTGATTCTGGGCTCCGAGAGAGAGAACTGCATTCTGGACCGAAACATTAAAGTTCAACCATGCGAGATGAGAGACAGCACCCTTGGACTCGAGCCGAGCCTCTGATTCTTCTTACAGAGTCTTCACGGCTTGGATTTTGCTCTAGCATCAAGACCAGACGTTCGATGCAAAAAAACCTGCGTGATTATTGGTTTTCGGTTCATGTCGCTCTGGAACTGGCGCTGCAGCGCCCTCACGAACTCAGCCCCAGATGATCTGAAGCCATGTTGAACGAGTCATGCGATATCCCCCAAAGCAAGCATGCATGCATATACGCGTGCACACGTACGTACATACGCTGGACTTTGCTTCACGAAACCCTTTGCTTGACTAAACCGTTCTATACTGCATATTGGATTCTAGGCTGTAGTCCTCACTGTACTCCATACTCTATGAACTGCACAGTGCACTTTAGTGTAATATGCTATAGAACCCCACCATAGTACTATGCTATACTGCTGTACCTACCATACTACACTATACCACACTATACTATTCTTTACTTTACCGCACGACAATACAGAACATTATCACATCACAACAATTAATCATCAGTTCATGGAAGGTGATATCACACTGTGATGTCACCTAACACGGCCTTTGTACGTGTATATAGACAGCAGGACTCTCGGTTTCTCGCTCCTTCCCTCTGTCGAAGTATATATGTATTTATACATATCTATAGCCTCACGTGAGTTGATCAAATGCGAGTGCCAATAACATGTGTATATAGTCTTGTATATAGGCATATACGTACATATACATTATATATATATATATATATACATGTATATATAGATACATGTACATATGTGTACATATATACGTATATGTAATATATGTATGCATGTATGCATTTTTGTATGTATGTATGTATGTATGTATGTATGTGTTTGTGTATGTGTGTGTAGATATACATACGCAGGTGTCTATATATGTATATATATATATATGTATACAGATACATATACATATACATATACATGTGTACATGTTCATACACATGCACAAATCAACCAAGCTCCTAGAGCATTTGCTCGTTAGGCAGCAGCCGCCACCTCCCAGGGGGGCAGTTCCGAGCTCAGCCAAGTTTCGGTGTTACGCATTGGGCCTGCCAGTTTCAACCCCATGCAACACTTGTAAGAACCCTATATGGATGCCGACAAAAGGACCCTAAAAAACCCTATAAGAGGTTGTTAGAAACACCGTCCTTTAGGCTTTGAGCTTTTCGTGCACTCGTGGGAAGCGAGACAAAGTTGCCGCGCTTAGCTTCTCTGGCAGCGCCTTGCCTGCATAGCCGTTGAGGGCTTCAGCGTTTGGATCTGACAAGGAGAGCATAGGTTTTTACGGAATCGAAGAATTACATATCGGGCTTGGGAATTAAAATGTATTCCTATCCTAAGGTGCCCGGCAAGACTGCGCCCCGTTCTGGGTGCAAGAAGGTCTTGTAGATTTTTCTATATGTGAGCAGAGTGGAGAATATGGGAGTGTGCAACTCTCCGGCCTAAGCGAGCGCCAGATGTTGGATACCGGCTATACAGGTTTAGGATGATTAATGTCTGTGCTTTGGGGCACACGTCGCGCAATGGCATCTAGAGATGAAGTAATCGTCGCACGTACATCGAGATACATGCACATACACGATTGGTTGGTATTGGTATCTCGTACTTGTTTCATGTCGAAGACATGCATGACTTGAAACATGTTTTAGACATGCATCGGGACACGAATGAATGAGCGAATGGATTGGTGAGGTCACGAACTCACGAACCACCTGAACGCTGCCTCTGCATGGCAAGGCATGTCGGATGCCAATCTGGCAGCCTCCCAGTGGCTGGGAACGATGAGTTCACCTGCGGCCATCCAGGGTACCAACATCAAATGGGCATCTCCGCAAGCAAGTATGAGATGATCTGTTGGGGTGTAATGCTTCATGTTATTTGCCTGGTCGTGCTGCGGCTGGCCGCTGACATGTGTGGTCGTGTATGTCATATGATGCATTGTACTGATGACAATTTACGAGTGTGCCTGCATGTGTACATAAGCAAAATGGTCACTGGTACATGCGGACACAAACACAGGCATTAACCACATGCATGCATACACGGAGGCATTGAGGAAGAGCAGACAAAGAGACAGGTTGGAACAGACTGTGAAAGATGCAGCAAAAGACAGACCGGTAGCCATGGACCGATGGAGAGACAAAGAGACAGAGAGGCAGATGGAGACAGAGAGACACAGATGTAACAGCACAAACAGACGCACTGACACTGAGCAAGCCTCTGGCAACGATGACTCTGCGAGGTACGGGGTGAAAGCGTTGGCTGCCGCCTCAGGGTGTGAAGCTGTAGAAGATCAGCCCGTCTGAAATTGCAAATCTTGAGGACTTGTTGAAGCGGATTCGATTGCAATGCATAGGTTAGGCATGGTCCAGTTCTCGAGCTGAACGTACGTGCTGTTTCCGTTAATTAGCAGCTCTACAGTTCAGCGAGTTCATATGCAAGCAGAGTCTTCTTGCTCGATGGCAGGTCGGGGCGCCCTTGGAAACGTTTTCCAGGCCCTGGATCAGGAAAGCGGATCGCTCTTTGCGGTCAAGGAGGCTTGCAAGAGCTTCGAGGGTCATCGGGAGTCGGATGCTCGGAGGTGTAAAAAGTAGATCCCTTTATGGGGGTTCCTATAAAGTGCCCTTATTAGTATAGGGCCCAAAATTGGCGTATCATACGAGTTCGTTTCTCCAGAATGCGCTGTTTTCGGATTTCATGCGCAGCCTGACGCCCCTGTAAGTATGACCAGCGTCGAGGATAACCGCACTATTCGGTAGTCCTGCGGCCACCAGAATACCACGACGGTCACCACCACCGCCGCCGGAACCAGCAGCAGCAGCACCACCACCACCCCCACCACCAACTAGCAACCACCATCACCAGCAAGGTCCCAAACCCACCAGCTCTGGATCTTCTTGTCCAAGCAGTGGTGCAGGTGTTGATCAACACATCAGATGCTGCCGATCTTCAGTTCAAGCACGCGCTGGAGAACGAGATTCAGATCTGCTCAGCTCTGAAGCATCCAAGAAGCTCGGCTTGTTTGCCGAAGTCGGAGTCACGTTGGCACTGGCCCAAGTGCGCAGCATTGCGCAGCGGCAGCCTACTTGCAGCCTTTTGCGATTGCGCAAGGGCTAGTCAGCAAAGGTGACATCATCGTAGACCCTGCTTTTTCATGCGCATCCAACCCGTCCGTCTCGGTCAACATTTGCTGCAACAGACCCGAAACTTGCGAGGCATTGTCACATATTTGGGTCACGACTCGATCGCGGCAGGCTCAGACGAAACTCACCTCGCCTCGGAGGATGCTTGACGAGCAGGTACTTGTCTTTCCTTGCGGCCTACCTGAGAGTGACCTAAGGCTGACAACCTCTATATCTACATGGAGTACATGATCGGTGGGTCGATGTCCAGTGTGCTGCATCAGTTCGGTGCCTTCGAGGAGGGAAATGCAGCTGTGAAGCTGAGTGGGTTCAGATGGGAAGTTCAGTCCATCCCAGTCGCAGTATTACTACAAGGGCCTAAAGAATTACCTACTATTCTGGGGGTTCCCTAGAATTTTTATAGGAAAAAGGGTACCCAAAACCCCGTTCTGTTTATAAGGCCCCTATATTGGCTGCCAAGCCTTGGGAACTTCCTTCCTCGAGTCCCCGAGTGAGTTTTTTGTCGGCGACGTGTCCCATGCTTCTTCTGGCCGTGATTTCTGTTATCGTTGTTGCTGAAAAGGCAAGTGCAGCTACCTTCCTGTGGTTGGCCTTGTTAAGCTTTGTGGGGAGTGACACAAAAGCTGCAATTTGCTTGGGTTGCTTTGGTGTTTCAGTTTCTGTCCAAGAGCCGCACACGTCTCTTGCTGGTTGCTTCCCTTTTGGAAGTTCGGGGGTTGCTGCCGCTGCACTCTCCATGATGATGCCTAGTGCAAAAGTTGCTCCTTGGGAAACAATCAGGGGCTTCGAGTTGGGAGAACCCGGAGAATGTCAGCTAGTGACAGGCACAAAGCATGCTGCCGCTGTCAGACGGACCAAGTTCACGATTCTGTCACTGGACGGGCGTTTGTCAGCATGGGTACTGGCAAGGGGTTGTTGACATTGCGGACGTCTTCCCCTTTGGCTATTCTGCTGAAGGGTTATGTGGCGGAAAAGCTTCATGCTTGCGGTTTTCCCCAAGAACGTACGACACAGGTGATTGTATCAGTCTTCGATTACAAACTCGCCGAAACAGAGCCCAGGGCCATTACAATGGCAAACTTGTCCTATGAAGAGCTGGATTTCATCGGGTTGAAACTGAGCGAGGATGCGATTCACATGCCAATGTCTGACAAAATCGTAGTTTTTGCAGAACTGCGGCAGGCTGATGTTGACAAAACAGATTGGCAGAAACATGGCGAGATTGCTTCGTTTGACACCTATGTTTCCACAATCCTCGGTGCGATAGGTGCGCTCGACGAGTGCATTCTTCATCGTACCACCGTGAAGTCTGGTTTTTTGGGTAAGCGCTTGCAAATTCCAGGGAGGTGCCGTAATGCGCGATGCCGTTGATTTGCAAACTCATTTGTCGCCGCCATGAATGTACTAACCATCCCATTTCGAGCGATGTAGTGCCCCACGGGTCGCAATCCAGCTGCACATTGAGGATTTGTCGTGGACAAGCATCCCCCAAGTGGTATCCTACCTGTGGTTTCAACCCTTCTTAATTTTTTACCCGTAAAATGAAAACGTATGTCACTAAGGCTATGCAATCCTGCGGCGTAGACCTAGTCACGGTCCCCAAGGTTATAAGATTCACACAGAATGCTTAGGCGGGGACATTGTTGGGTTTGTTGGACGGAGAAGGACGCATCGGCCCGAACTTTTCTGCGCTCTTTTTCTCACGGATCAATCTAGATACGTCTTGAATGGTTCCAGACAAGCTAATGCCCACTGGGTTCCTAATTTCAGCGCCCTTTTCCCATGAGTTTCCTACAGTGGCAGTCTGCATGCATTGCTCATCTTAATCTTAGTTCAGTAACAGCTCTGACGTTCGCGAGGCGGAAGAGCGAGTGTTGGCGAAAATTAAGGCCCCTACATTATACCTCCTATCGCGCCTAAAAGGTGAGCTTGTTCCTCGTACACTACCTTTGAGGAGATTCACACAGCTCGGGGTCCTGACTCTGAATTCTGGAGGGTCCCTATAAGGTCTTCTATACTCCGCTACGGCCTGAAGCTCCCAGAGTTTGTCATTGAAGGGCATTTCAAGAGCTTACCAGGAGGGCTTGATCAGCAAGTACGCCCGGGATATGCTGGAAGGGCTGGACTACTTGCACACGCGAAGCCCACCAGCATCCTTGAAGCACCCAGCTGCTTATGAAACGCCAAAACATCCGGCCTCAGATCCGCTGGGATGTGCTCTGTAGGTATTGCATCGAGACATCAAGAGCGTCACTTGTCGGCATCGGTTCCGGCTACGAAGCTGCGGTGTCACCTTGCAACACAAAAGAATAACTTCCAGGAAACTTGGATTGCATGCCGCATGAGTTTCTATGGAAGTCGCAGGGCACTGCAGTGGCCAGCAATGTTTTTCTTGTTGCTGTTGAGCGTGTAGTGCACATACTGTTTCTGGTTGATGATCACGACAGTGGTGATGGTCGTGATTCGCGCGTGATGCTCATGATTTGACGACAGCTGTCATTGCTCGGGTCGGGTTCCCCGTCGTACTCCTGTTTTCCAGGCGAATGTCCTGATGGGGCAGAGCGCAGATGGCGGAGCACTCTGTCCGCACATTGCAGCTTTATGTGTAAAGTAGGGTCGAGAAGGACGAGTACAGTTTTTCGACATGCGTGTGGGTTCATCGAGCTTGGCATAACTTGGTCCGAGGAGCTCTGTGCCAAGTTGGCAGACTTCGGCTGCTCAAAGAGGACTTGCAATCTTGCTTCTTTCAGACAAGGCTCGAGACGAGAGATTGTCATCATGAGACCCAACTTGGTGGGAGGAATGAGGAGTCCTTTTCCACCACACTGAAGGGCTCCATCCCGTTCATGGCACCAGAGGCGGACTTCAGCCGTTTGAAGAGTGACCTTTGCATGGTGGGCTTTCCTTGAATGGTGCAGGTCGTGAAGAATGTCGGCATCTAGGCAGCACGTCGAGACTTTCGGAACTGGGGAATAGAGCTACGACATCATGCATGCAGACAAAGAGCGAGGCTATGCACACGACCTGCAGTGCATTCCATGCGCCTGGAGATCAGGATACGGAAGGATGGCCGACATCTGGAGCTTTGGCTGCGTCATCATCGAGATGGGCACAGCTCAACCGCCTTGGGGGCCTCTTGCATCGCACGAGATAACTGACCTCGACCTTCAAGCTCCTCTTAGAAGGATAGTGTTTGTGGTATGCTTTTGGGCTTGCAGGGTTTCGTGGGCCCCTCAGCTGACACCTTTGTGAGGCAAAGAGGGGGTACGGGTAAAGATGGTCAAACAAAAACAACATGGAGCTAAACTCACCAAATCTCTAAAACGTTTACCTAGACCCTCCATCTACCCTCTATTAGCCAAGAAAGTGGTGGCCTCAGGAACGCCATCATTGCCGATATAATTGGGGATATTAGGGTTTAGGGCTTTCCCGTCCGTGTATTCAGGCGATTGCACAAGTCCTGATGCAAAAAAGGGCTTTCGTTGCAGCTCAAGGTTTTGTGTGACGTTTTGTTGCACAGTGGACGAGTGATGCATGCGCTTGTGCGTGATACTTCGTGACGAGATCGCAAACGTGGCGTCGAAGCCAGCTCGAGAACAGTTCTGAAAGTCAATGATGTTGTTCTGTGTCTGGCCTTGTTCAGAGCGACACATCCAGGCGGGATTCACACGAGCCTGTGCAAAAGTGTGATATACTAGTATGCACAGAGCCCCACCTGGGTAGCATTGGGTAGCCAGAGTTGTGACAGTTGTTGCGCGATGGATCTCGCCGCTGCCAGGAAGTTCGACAACCCGATGGCTGCCATGACTCTCGGGCCGAATAGCAGGATCCTTGTTATAAGGACCCCAAAGTAAGGTACCCCTAATTTTCAACTTCAATTCTCTCTCTTTTGTTGTCTGTCTCCCTCTCTCTCGCTCTCTCGCCGTCTCTCTGGACATCTCTCACACTTGGGGTATTCATAGGGATCCTTAGGGGTGTAGGGGGAGGGGGGGTAGGGGGCCTTAAGGCCCATAATAAGGACTAATAAGGCCTATTTAAGGAAATATAGTCCCCTACACCCCTCCCCCCTACACCCCTAAAGGGAACTCCAGAAAGTTGGAATATGGTTTCAGGGTAGAATACCTTGTAATTTACCATAAAAGGTTTAGGATAATCATATTCCAACTTTCTGGCTTTTACTTAAAGGATCCCTACACCCTACACCCTAAACCCCTAAACCCCTAAACCCTAAACCCTACACCCCTCCCCCCTACACCCCTAAGGATCCCTATGGGGTATCTCTCTCTCTCTCTCTCTCTCTCTCGGCTCCCAGACCCCACGACTATCGACTTCTGGATCCATTTCTTGGCTTCGAACAGCCATTGACAGCCCAAGTATTCCTAGGTATCCTTTTGGGATCGTTTTCAAATTTCCCTTATCGTCTGTGTAATAGTAATATAATGTAATATAGAGCTCTAGGCCCTAATTGTAGACAATTTTGGGGATGGTTGAAATCGACACGTAGGTTTCTTTAGTTCGGCCGCCGGCTTGTTGAGCTCCAGAGGCCACTCTAAGCCTTTAAGCAGTTTCAGTAATTTGTGTGAAACTTCAAGTTGCTCGGCCAGGCAACTCCTTGCCTATGTCTAGGAGTCACTATCAGACAATCCAGCCCTGCAGCAGTTTTGACGTTTGATCTCCGCTTCTCTTCGAGTTACCGGTATTACGACGTGGGTAGACCCGCATCCTAAACCTCACTGCTTCCTCAGATCTGTAGAGCATACAGTTTGTCATCGAACTTTGGTTTTCTGATAAACCTGCGACAGTGCAAGTATGATGACGACTGCTACCCTTGCAAGTGCTACGCCAGCCCCAATGCCGGCAGGAGCACATGCTATTGTCATGTTTTTATCTCTCGATGAGTACTACATGCTATCCAGAACCGGTTTATACCCGGGCCTACCACTAACACATTTGGAGGATCAGGAACCCTACACCCTAAACAAGTGTCACACCGACCCGCACTTATAAATGTAAGAGCGTTACCCTAAGCCACTTTCCCAAGCGAGGTATAAGATCGGCATGTCCAGCGAGACGCCTCCCTTGCCGACTTCCTTCTCCGAGCGCTGTGTCGACTTCACTCGACGGTGTTTGCAGCGTGAGCCCACGCAGAGGCCCAGGGCAAGCTCGAGGTTTCGGGTTGGCGAAAGGGTTTAGGAATTGAAAGTTGAGGCTTTAGGGTTTGGTGCTGGCCGGCACCTCAGTCCGTGCTGAAAAGGGTTCGAAAGTGTAGGTTTTAGAGTTTAGGGTTTGGAGGTTTAAATAAAGCTTTGAGGGTCATGTATCGCCCATAGCCCAAAGCTTGGGACATTAGAATGTGATGGCGCAGCAAGCTTTTCGGAAAGCCCCGTTTTGCAACCTCGACTCGAGCATGATGTGTTATGCAGATTAGTCCGTTGGAGCCTCTATGTCTCCGGAGTGGCAACCCAACTCCTGAGCATAAACCCCGGCATTTGCTGCGAGGGCTGGAGCAGCAGACTTGTTGCAACATCCCTTCGCCGCTTGGTAGCTTAGATCTGGGAATTAGGGACCGAAAAGCACATAAGCATAAGCATTTTATGGGGATATCCCTATCATATTGGGCTTCATGATAAGGGGGTTTATATGGGATATCCCTATCCTAATTTTTGCTCATGTGCTTTTTTGGGGCCCTATGGAAGACTGTCGGTTTGAGGTTTGGGGTCGAATCTTGGAAGGGGTTTCACAGTTTTATTGCCGAAACTTTGAGATACACCTGCAATCAAGCCCCTCCTGAGCTTCAACCGAAGATGTGAGTAAGGGGTAGGGATCTTCGTGACTGTATGAGCAAACAGAAATCTCAGGTGGTAGAGGCAGCGTCTGATGACGACTGATGCCCCGGAGCACATCTCGCCGAAGCTACTTTACAATGGCAGCAGAAATCTTGCGCCACCCCAACCAGCCCTCTTGGCTGATCTCATTGTCTATCGTTGATCTGCCGTCAAGGCTAGTTCCGGCAATTAACTCCTGACAACCTTGATAAGTACTGTTTACCGCATCCAGGGCTGCCGAGTTCCCATTTTGTGCTGCAACAGAGACCTTCGTGTTGCAAGTGACTTCTCTTCTCCATTTAGGTATCATGCAGGTATGTTTATACGCTTATGTTCAGGTATTGCCGTGATGTTAAATCTATGCTGGCCAATCTGATGGGCTTCGTAGACTGTTGCCGGATCCCACTGCAACAGCAGAGCCGCACCATCAGGCTGCAGCACACTCAGCGTCTCACATGGGCAGCGATGCTGCATTAGTTTAGGCCCCCTGGAGTCTTAAAATGCTGGAGAGCCGCGAAGGCGGTCTCTCCGGCTTCCCCTTTGAGGATTGTGCTGATATGGGCCGGTTATCGCGTAGCGCCTGGGCACCAGGGCGTGGGTTGCGTTGGGGAACCTGAACGCAATCACGCACACAGCGCTCTCCTCGTTGCGACTTTGCCAGGGGGAAGCAAAACATGCGTTTGGCGTGAACAGAACCATCTCTCCTCTGGTCACAGGCTTGGACTACAGCCTATAGTAACAGTAGAGTGACGGGCTTAAAACGATTGATTCAGGCAGTCGTACGATTTCGAACGGTCCTGGGCCAACCTGCATGTTTCGCAAGACAGGAGCTTCTGTTTCCGAACCCTGCCACCTTCGCAAAGCCGGCAGCACAAGCACGAAGCTTGTCCAGGACGCACTGCTTTGAACCGCTTTGAGACGTGAAGCATGGCATCCCGCCATCTGTTTGCAACGCACGTTGCAACTCTGATTGATGTTCTCACCTAATAGAATATAAGAACTGGTAATCATGAAGATGACTCGTGACAGGACATCGTACCCTATGACCGGCGCAAGATCTGTGTCGTCTCCGAGCTTGCTAGGCCGGGCGGGTCCTTCGCATGGGTCTTTCGTCCCGCAAGAGCACTTGCTCAGCCGAATGCATGAAGATTCAGCATTCCGGCAGGCAGCTCACATGCACAAGGCGTGAGGAGCTTGGTCGAAAGCCTCTCCAGAGTGTATATGAGTCTGCTGCGGAGTCGCATGCCTCGGAATTGCTCATGATCAGCGAGTGCAAAATGCAAAGAACAGCTTCTTCGAGTACCACCCAACTTGAAACCGAACGAAGCAGTCCTCAGTATATACTGTAGTATAGTATGGCATGGTACAATGCCACGGCAGAATGTGATGTGGTCATCTCGTGATTTTGTGATATTGCCTGTGCTGGTGCCTAGCCTGATGCCGAGGAGAAGGAGTCCTCGAAGTCCGTGAAAGCGTCGTGGCCTTGGCAGACTCCGAGTGCCATCCACCACGCCGTCTTCTGAAAGTATCAGATGCATCGGCCCGGGGGGGAAAAGGGATGTAAATGTAGACTCATGGTGAGGTCGCTGGGACGAGCACAACAGCAACCAGAACAACAACAGAAGCAGTGCTGCCGACCTGGGGTTCATAATCCTTTATGCATCAATGTACTGCACCTTGGCCAATCCCCAGCGAGCCACTGCTGCCTTCGGGTTTTGGTGCTGCGAGTAAGACCTCGATGATGTTGAGTACGGGTATCAACAACGGCCACATAGAAATCACATACGCTGCTGGTGCTCGGCAGCAGAAGCAGCTGCGACAGCACCAGCAACTCCAATGCCAACACAAGCAACGAGAACAGTTACAAGATCATCTTTGTAATTGTGCCCCATGTCATGCATGAAAAATTTCGGTGCGGCGTCTCCGAGTACAGCTGGCTGGCACGAGTCTACTGTCAGCAAAAGTATCACGACCATTGATTCTTCCAACAATGGCTTCTTGCTTGATTGCTCATGCCGCAGCTCTTAGTGTGTTGCGTCCTGTGAGTCTTGTGCTTCAGTCTTGCTTGTCGTCGTTCCTATTACCCACGGATTCCCTTTCTGCACCCATCTGCCTCGTTGCGCCGAGGCCTCAGAGCCTGCTGTCCCTTGTTTCGGTCGAAGGAAACCGGAGGCCCTCCATCCTCCGCCGCAGATCGCCGTGGGCCTAGTTGCTCAGTTCCTTGATGTAAGGTCCCCCAGATGGACTGTAACAGTAGGAATTAAAGTCTCGGGGCTTGCACTTGCGCTCAGCAGAGCCTGCCAGCTTTCGGGTTTGGAAACGAATATGACGAGGGAGCAACACACGGTCAAGATATCAAGAGCACCAGAGGAGGCGGTAACCGGGGGGTGGCAAGCCTGTGGTCTCCAAGGATCAGAAGCGTAGGTATGGCATTGATATGGGATTCCCGGAAATTATGTAGGGGTACCTTATTTTGGGGTCCTTATAATACCTACTATCCTACTATTTGCGGTACTTTACGGTGCTTCCAACTGAGTCGTTCGCCGCTCCGTCCTGAGGTCTTGGGGTGCACGGCCCATGCTGGCTGATGCCATGTCGAAGATGCAGATGCACCCTGGTATGTAGCGCTGTCGCTGGAGAAGTGAACCTCGCGCCTACCGGATGGCATTGCCCAGCTGCGCGGAGCGCTCTGAGCACGGGCTTCGTCCGACCTTGCAAAGTGAATGATTAAAAGTGGCCTTGATGCCATGTGTAATATGAGCTTGCAGTGCATTGGCAACGGTTCACAGCATGTCAAGGACTGAAGTGGTGTGATACGTCCAGCCACTCAGGCGACCAAGGCCACCATTTTTAAGCGAGGCCACTTCCGTGAAGTCGGCGACCATCATGGGCCATGGGACCATCGGGACCATGAGGTCCATCCTGGCTTACGACATGCAGCGAGATTCCAATCTCGACTCTGTCTCTTGTCAGATGCTCATTGGACTAAAGTCCTCTTTAAAAGGCCCTTTTTCGATCGGGTATCGTTCATCTGGCCGCGCAAAGGGCAATTTCCTCGGCCATGCGTTGCTGCAACAACACTTCGCGCCCATCTTTTTTGAAGGCGCCGGAACGAGTGTTTTTCCAACAGGCCCTCTTCCTCAAAACTGATTCGAACACAATGCAAGAAAATATTCGGAACACAGCGAAAGAAAACTTATGAGAACATGCATATCGACATGTACCATCATCGAGATGTACCATCAAGCCCGAAAGCCGAGTCTCACTGACCAAGTCAGTCTGAGACCTTGAGCCTAAGGCCGGGTCGGCAGGTAGACCCCCCCCCCCCTACGCAAGGCCGAGAAGGCAAGGGCTTCGCATTACATAGGCAGACATAGACGATGGTGGGGGCTTCGGCCCCTCTACCGCGGGCAAAGTTTTGATTCATTTACGTACGCCCCTCGCCTTCTGCGACGCTGACAAGCATTCTGGAAATAGCCAGGTGTCTTTCCGAGCCACTTGTTCCAGCCCAGACGTGTCACTCCTCGCGACGGCAGGATGTAAACACAATCCCGTCTTTGTGTTACTTGTGTTGCAGCAGATGACATCATTACTATTTCGAAAGTAGCGCAGCAGTAGCCGTCCTGGAGGTGTGTTGCATGCCGGGCCGTTGGCATCGAGTTATTTTCGGGGCCACTCAACTACGGAGTGCACACTGTAGGCCGTTTTTCGTGTGCCTTCAATTAACAACATGGTGAGCTGGAGGCTATGCCACATATCATGAATAAATTTTGATTATAGAAAGTGTAGATGAGCTGACATCACATTAAATAGGGGAATAGTGCGTGTGGAGTAATCTATTTGGTAACCCGGCCCCCCCAAGAACCACCGCAAAGTCTACCCTATACATATATATATATATATATATATATATGTATACATATATATATATATATATGTACATGTATACACATAGACACATATGTGTATATATAATTCGTTCGTTTTGTACATATGTACATGCTTTATATGTAAAGATAAGAAATGGATACAGATAGATATACATACCCCGACACACACACACACACATAAAGCATCTCTTGTGTATGCAAGGCTGCACAGCTGTGGAGCCCAGCTTCAACAAACGTGTGTGTGTGTGTACGTATTTGTTTTCGCATTTCCCCCTTCTCCTTGCATGGATAATCATTACATACATACATGGACGAAGGCAGAGAACCAACTAAATGTACACATATGTATCTATATATATATATATATATATATACACATGTAATGCATGTATGTAGGTGTGTAGGTACGTAGGTAGGTAGGTAGGAAGGTAGGTAGGTAGGTAGGTAGGTGAATTTACGTCCGTCTGTCTGTCTGTCTGTATGTATGCACATTGTATGTATGTATGTATGTATGTAGATATTACATGTGCATATATATATATATATACCTGTACATATACACATACGTGCGTGTGAGTATGGGTTTAGATAAAAGCCCCCGCTGTAGCGCTTGTCCTAGCCTGAGAAAGCTCACCATCAACCTGATGAAGACTGCGACAGACCTGCACATCATGCACAAAGGAGACTGTTGGTTGCCTGCCGATTTGGGGGGTGTGTGCAGGCCTGCATGGGGTTTAGGGATGCCGAAATGTCGGGAGCTGCATGACACTGAATGTGCTGCTGCGGCAAGGACTGGACCCCGGACCCTGCACGCCACCCGCAACCGCGAAAGCTGTTTGACCCTTTGACGGAATTCCCAGGAACACGCTGCCTGGCTTCGTGAGCAGGAGGCACAACGGTTGCCCCGGTTGTGAGTGCTGAAACCCAAGACAAAGACTAAGACCCTGCACCCCAAAACCATGATGGATTGGGACCCTCTTTGTGCCTGATAAGAGGCTGCTGCTGCCACGGAGAGGCGCCCTTGCTTGCTGTATCAGGTTTGGCAGCGTGCATGATAGCCATATGCGTCCGTAGCATCGCACTGATAACCCTTGTTAAGATGAGGATGCAGATCAGTACGACTGCCCAGCCCATGCGAGAGTGCGGGCAGCGCTTGCTTGCTCCCTTGTTTCGTGTGTTGCTGGTAGACGACGATAGACTTGACTTGTGTTTGCTGTGCTCATGTGTCTTTGCGTCAGTTCCGTTTTCGCCGGTCAGGATCATCCCGTCGGCACCGCCTTCGGCAAGCGAGTCTGAAAGCAGCAGCCCCGCGGCAGCTGCATGAACTCAAGTCTGACGCCTCGATAAACATGTACATCCAACATATATTCACCAACTTGGTTGCATCAATGCAGATGTGTTCCTCATGACGCGGAATGAAGCTGTGTACCTGCCTTCGTTCATTGACAGATGCACTGTAGTGATCAAGTAATTTAACAATAATATGAGTATGAACATTGTTAGTACATAGTTTAATCTTTATATGGTTGTATTGTTATATTATTGTATATCAATATTATTCTGTTGTTTTCCTATATCAGTATATTCTTATATTATCAATTTATTTAATTGTTATATCTATATATTCGTGTGTTACTATACCACCATCTTGTATAATCTTATATTACCTTATGTATTTCTCTAATGATTTATAATTGTATTGTCATACTGTTTATTTGACATATTCTTATACTCTTATATTCTTGTGTTTTTATATTATCATATCACTATGTTATGACATCTTTATATTCTTATTGTACCATTATACTGTATCAGCTCTTTTTGGCTGGCAGTAGCCTCAGGTCCAGGCATCGCCTTCGATCGCACTCAAGGTGTGCCCCACTTTCGTCATATCTGAAGTTTCCGAGCACCTCATGCTGGGATCCGTACAGTGAGGAACCTGCTATTCAGGGTGCTTGTTTAGGTCCACGATTTTTCGGAAGCGCCCATAGGGTTATGAGGGTCATCCATTGATTGGCCTCGGGTGCAGCGTTCAGTGCAGGGCTTACATGTAAGATCATTTTGGAGTGTAAGACTCCTAGGCCTCAGCCCGTTGCATCACACAACCTTGTCGTCAAGCCGGGCGTCGCAGTACGCACACCTGCGTATGGATCTGTTTGTTGTTTGGCCTATGTGTTCGCCTTTGCTGAGTTCCCAGGTGGACAAGCTCAGCAACATTCAGCGACTGATGACTGCTCAGTGCTGTTTTGCTTTCCAGGAACGACCTGAGCCAACTAGCGATACAAACCCAATCCATACCATCATTAGTACAATGACTATCAGTATCACTAGCATTATCAGTAGTATTGTCGATTTCGAATTATCAGAATTATTGGTATTATTAGTAGTCCTACTGTATGGCTTCTGCTAAGTCAAAATCAGGACAGCAACTGGCAACAGGCCGGCTCAGCCACGAAGACAGCGGCATGAGCGGTACGAAGCGGCCTCAACCGCAGGTCTAGAACTGTGGAGAGTTTCGCGAGGTACCCGAGCATCCATGTATGTTTTCATGACATGAGCCTGCAACTATCCCTCAACCCTGCACCCACTACCGTATAAGACCCCATAAAGTCCAGATGTCGCACTTCCCATGTGCCGACATGGCTTGGAACGATGCAGCCCGTGATCTGTGCCGAGCGCGGTGTCAACTCGCTGACGCTGGAGGTCTCACCTGGCGACGCAGAGCCTCCTTGGGCGGTGCCTGAAGTTACCATGATGACAGGGGCATATAAGAGCATGATGTACTGTGGTTTCTTAAATACATTTAAATACGATAGCTGAAATTGGTCGGTGCCTGGACCTTTCGTAACGGATGCAAGATGATGCAAGTGGCTTGAATCTTCCATGGCCCGCTAATTGTAACGGCTACCGCAAGAACCTGTAAGGCTTGCTTGCCGAGGTGCAAGTCCTGGTTCCTGGAAGCTGGTTCCAAAGCGAAGAGTGGAGAGAGCTGGTGGAAGGCAAGGAGGTGTCCACTGTGCAAGTTGTAGGCTCGAAAGCCCTCTACCATGTGCACGTTTCGAATCTGCAGCCCGATGCTGCGGTGCATTACGGCAGTAGCAAAACCTCTATGATTGCCAACGATTGTTGATGTGGTGTCCCCGCAGTTGATCCTTGTGGAGCCATCTGCGCAGCTAAGGAGACGAAGTACAGCCTCCGCCTCATGCCTCCGAAGAAATCGGCCACGGATTGGAGCTTGCACTGTGACTGCTCGACATTGGGAAGGCCGGAACGCTCGAATCCACCTCGGTGCATTGGCCGCTGGCCAGAGAAGTTGCGGATTGAGTGGAAGGTTCGGACGCCGGTCGGTGCTCCGATTCTCGAGTGCCAAGTTCAGCAGTGCTCGCAGGAGGTTTTCAGTGTGTGGCAAGACGTGGCTCTCCTGGAAGATGTGGCCGTATCAGAGAGCAAGAACGGCAAGCCGAGTGATCGAGAGGAGACATGGAGTGCGGCCGTCCCCAATCTGAAGGCCGCAACAAGCTATCATTTTCGGGTGAAGGCCTGCAACACGGTCGGGTGGTGTGCGGACTTCTCGGACGAGGAGATATTCCGCACATCGGAGCCCCCAGATCCTCCTGTGAAGCTAAAGCTGCTGTCTCGGCAACCGGGGAAGGTGGAAGTGGAGTTCGAATTTCAGGATGCCGACGGATGCCCAGTCTCACACATCGAACCAGAATTCTGTCTGAAGCCCGAGGGCACCAACATCACCGGAGTCATTCCTGGAGAGAGCGCCGACGGCTTCAGCAACATCCTGGACGCCGCGACATGGTGGTGGCAGACACCACAGCATTTCCAGCTGTCCCTGCAGGCGAGGACATGAAGCCCCCTCCCACGTGTGCGGGGTTCTGGGTTGCACTGCCAAGATGGCAAAGCACACAGTTCAGCAGTCGCTCGAGATCAACGGACAGCATGCGTGTAGCGTGTTGTGAACCATGGTATTCGCCACATCCTAAATCCCGTGTCCATGCATATCTTAATGCTTATTCAAGCAGTGGCTGCATTGAGGCATAGGGCTCGGACCAAGACTATGTCCAGTTAGAAGGCGGACTTCAAAACCCAAATTGTCGAGTTCTTAAGCCAGGGTCCGAGCCATTCCTGGCTCGGACCCTGGCTTTACCTCTGCCGCCGCTGTCAGGATCCGGAACCGTCTGCAGGTCGCAACGATGTCCGCCGCGCGACAGTTACAGCCGCTCATCAACAAAGTTGAGATCGCCTCCAAGAGATTGGGGAGGTTCGGGGCTGCTAGCCTTTATATCACTAAGCCCAAGCCGGAGAACCCAAAGCCCATAGAATCTATCAATCATTTATGTTTCGAAAATATTCAGAAATGCAGAGAGAAGCAATTCACAAAGTAACGCGCGCACATACACGTGCATATGCCAAATGATTGGTTCGCTTGGTAATGTTAATATCCGATATGCATGTCTAGCAACAAGCGGCCCGGAACATTGCGATATCATATAACTTATCAGAATGAGTTGCTTGGCCTGTTTCGCTGAGATTGGTGAGCTTCGGCCCGAGCAGACGATTTGGCTTCGACTTTGGGCAGTGAACCAGGTAACGTGGTTCTAAAAATTCAGGCCTCTACCGGGCTACAGGGATATCAAAGCTCTGGAATTCAGGCTGCTGGGCTCGCGGACTTAGAATTGATGGTATATAGGGATAGTTGAAGTGAGATCTTTTCTTTACAGGGGTCACACCTCCATTGGCATCACTGGGTTTGGCTCAAACTCTGCCTTTGTCGGGCTATTGCGGTTTAGGGTTTAGGGTGTCCCTTTCCCCGGCCGACTCCCAAGCCCAGATGCAAAACGGGTTTAGGGTGCCTTGCTGCCGACTGACTGAGGTTCCACCCGTCCCACCCGTAAGCCTTTAGAGCCCAGAACCCGGGATCTTTAAGCCCTTCAGTTTCTCTCCGTGGACACATCCTGGAATCCATGCCTGCTGCGTGCGAGCATGCTGGTCGGAGCCCTGCTGTAGGCCCAAGACCATCAACCCCATAATCCCACTGTAAGCCCTGCAAGCCCGAAGCCCTGAATTGTCCGAGTGTGAGCACCAAAGCACTCTAAGCTGTGAGACCATGAAGCCGTGCCTGCGAGTGAGAGTGTGCGAGTCGAAGCCCTACATCTGCAAGTGCAAGATACTTGCAAGTATCAAGAGCCCTAGATGCCGGCTTTTCCTGGCGAAGTAGGAGGCAACGAGATCATCCCATATTTCCTGCGCATGTAGCGTCTGTGCGGCAAGAGATCTAGGCCGGCCGTTCCCCTGAGCCATCGCAGCCTTTGGCATGCCGACCCTCAGACAGGCAGGGGTCTTCACGAGTTTAGGTTTTACGGCGTTGTTCCTCAGGTTTTGCTACAACGGTTCTCTCAAGTGCTACTACTTGCAGAGTCACTATGTTGGTTCTGTAGGCATCCTGTGTGGGCTTTCGTAACTGGGGACATGCTCTTAATCCGCGCAGCACCAAGGAATTGCAGAGCTTTTTCACATGAGATAACTCAATCCTAAAGCCTAACATTCTAGTATATGCTGGTCCACCGGTATCCGAGGTTTGCTTTCTGTATGGCGATCCGGGGCTTTATCAAGCTGAGGCCGCCAAAAGTGGATGACCTCTGCTGCATCGTCCGCGGGGCCACATGGCTGGAGGCACTATCGAATGGGCCCCAAAGTAGTTCCTTTTTGGGATTACCTTATAGAATTCTAAATATGAACCCCAAAAAGGAACTGCTTTGGGGCCTTTGGGTATCGAATGGGCACACGGCGCACGGGTTTTTTCGCGGCCGATCCGTAATGGACCAAAGGTGACACGTAGTGCTCGCACTCAGTTGCCCGTGCTGACGTGTCGTGTAGTCTGCAACATTGCGACTGATCTATTCTTATGATGACTATTATGTACTATTTTTCCTCTTGTTATACGACTATCTACTATTATGATACTGTTATATACACTTATCATTATGATTGCTATTATCATAATTGTGCATCGTCCGGGCCCCGCTGTTGGTGCAGGTGCAGTGGCGAACAAGGGATCCCGACGGCGCACCGGTGACAGAGTGCAGCGTCGAGGCGGGCTGAGCGGCCGATGCACAAGTATAGTAATAGTATAGTAATAGCATAGAAAAGAAATAATACTAACAATAATAGTAGTCAAAATAATGATGTAGCGGAGAAACCGGTCACATCTTTTTACCAACTACGGGCTTCACTGAGATGTTGCAGTTGTTGCGAGAAAAAAGGGGCCTCCAACAGCCATCCTTCTTCTTGCTGCACCAAACTCTTGTCGGCAGGTGAGCCGTGAGAACCTTCTCAGCAACTGGATACAGCTTCCTCGGAATGGCGTGTGGCGTTGCGGCCAGGGAAGAAGCACCTGGAATGCATCAGAACTTGTCGCCCTGCCTAGCCATGCATGTCCCGTGGTGATGCCAACAGTGCTAGGTGAGGCTCCAGCTGGGGCCGGCCAGGATTGTAACATCCCATCATGGCACTGTCTTTGCCCGTATGTTTAGGTCGGGTTTGTTTCCGACCAGGCTCCTTCCCTGATGACACATCTCCCGGGATGGCCCCAGCGATTCAGAGCCCCATTGAATCCTTGGCCCGCCTGCAAATCGCTCTTATCCACCGCGCAGGGAGTGTCTCCAAAGTGATCTAAACAGACGGTCAAATGAAATCTCTGCTGTGCTGAGGTTTAAAACCGGGCGGCAGCATGCGCTGTTGCTTTCTGATGAGGTCTTTGGTAGTTGTGGGTAATCCTGCCGTCTTGTCTTTTTGATGGTGCGTGGCCGCTGCTTTCTGAGGCACTTGGCGAGCTCGAGCCGCCGGCCTTTCCACCGAGACCGACTTCCGTGCGACCTGGGCGCGTGTTGTGAGTTGATGTGCAGAGACAATTCGACATGGCGCGTGCATTCTGTGGATATACCTATGCCTCTATCTGTCAGTCTATAAGCACGCAGACAGACAGAACTACAGACAGAGCGAGCGAACGACAGACGGACAGACAGACAGACATGCCTACAAAGGCTTTTGCTTATATGCATATGTAAATCTCAAACTACATCCAGCAAGAAAGATATAGCTCACAATCCACATGTTTGTGTACATACACGTATATAATTCTAGCGCTACGCGGCCCGCCTAGGCTGGCGGCTCCAATAGTGCCAGCAGCGGCGCCCAGGGCATGAAGGGGAAAAGAGAACCGAAGGAGAAGAGCAATGGAAAAAACACACGAGCGAAAGCAGTGGGAAAATGGAAAAGTGGCAGGGGAAGATGGAAAAGTGGTAAAAGATGGACAAAGAAAAGAAGGAAGTGGGGCAGAAGGAAAGGGAGGAAAGAGAAGGAGGGAGCTTGGGGCCGGAAAGCAGCGGACAGGTGGAAAAAGAAGAAAAAGGCAAGAACGTGGAAGAGGAAGAAGGAACGCTTGGAAGAAGAAAGGACCGGGTAGAAAAAAAGGAAGTCAAGAGAAGTGGGCCGGGAAGAAAGCAATGGAAAAAGCCGCGAGCGAAGGACAGGAAGGAAGCAAGGAAGGGAGCTGGAAAGCAGCGGGAAGATGGAAAAGTGGCATAAGATGGAGAAAGAGAAGAAGGAAGTGGGGCAGAAGGACGGGGAGAAACGGGAAGGAGGGGGGAAAGCAGCGGGGTGGAAAAAAGAGGAAAGGGAAGAAGAACGCTTGGGAAGGGGGGATAGGGCCGGCTTTGGGGGTGGTCAGCCGGGGGGGGGGGGGGGGGGGGGGGGGGGGCGGAAGTTTGGGCAGAGGGAAGGTGGGAAATTGTGAAAATCATGGGTGGCAGGACGGAAGCCGGGCAAGGGGGGTCGAAAACAGGCGCGAAAAACGGGTGGAGGATTAGGATGGTTACCCAGTATTAACCATCAAAACGCCAGAGGCCTTTGGCCTCGGCGGATATGAGCATGACTCTATGTATAGAAACACTGCATGCGTTGTGAAAGGTTGCAGTACTACGCGCGTGACAGTGAGACATTGGCTTGGAGACAGAGAGGGGAAGGAAGATACAATGCGGCGCTCCGTTTGCTCTTCATTGTTGGTTGGAAAGAAGGTCTACTTCGGGTGTAGTAGTGCAGTGCCGGTAGTTGGCTTTGAATTCCGGGTTTATTGGCTGGAGTTTTTATGGTTTATAAAAAAGGGGCCTAAGGCAACGTTGTGCCCCAAGGTGCGAGTTCGTGCGAAAAACGGAGTGGGCTGGTCCTCCGCAGATGCTCAAATCAGCTGCCGGACGGCGGAGCGCCCTTTGAAGCCGAGGCAGCTGCAGTGCGTTGAAGCGGGAACCTTGTCAAAAGAGCTGCCTGCTGTATTTGTACAGTACTGTCTGTTAGTTATATAATAGTACATGAACATGTGGCATGCTGTGGCTGGGGTGTTGGCACTTGTCATCATTGCCGGGATTTATATGTTGTTTGCTTTGCTGTTTGGTGTTGTTCTTTGCAGCTCAGCAATTTTGAGAACTGAAGGAAGAAGCCACGTGCGGATCGAATTCAAGGTCCCTCTCAATTACGGGCAAGAGGAGCACATCAGCAAAGTGCGCGTGGAGCAAGCTGGGATGTTGGTTTGGAACGAGCTTCCACCCCAGTCTCTTGAGTTCGAGTGCCTAGACAAGGTTGACAGCTACTCGACCGAGCCAACCGCTGAAGAGATTGATCTTGGCCCGTTCTGGAATGCAGAACTCAAGCTGAGGGCTTTTGCAGTTGTTGTTCGTGGCTTGGAACCGAACTCCCATTATACTTTTCGCTTGGATGTTGCCAATGAAGCAGGCTGGAGCCGTTTTAAGTCAGATCCGTTCTCCTGTCACACCGTGTGCCGGCCACATCTTCCCAAGCTGCGGGAGGGGCCGCACTGCGTGCCTTACGAGCTGCGAGTGTCTTGGGATCAGAGAGACTCGTTGGGTGGTGCCGTCCTGGAGTGGGAAGCACAGATTTGTGAGTCCTCTCTTTTCACCTTGTTCTCCAGCTGGACAGCTGCGAAGGATTTCCTGGTTCTGCGCCAGCCAACGCTGCACGACATGGTCTGCGAAGATGAGGAGCTGGCCATTAACACAACCTGGGAAGCGAGCTTCGGTTGCTTAAAACCTGCCGTGGAATATGTGATGCGATTGCGCACAGGTAACATTGCAGGCTGGTCTGAATGGTCGGAGCCCTTGCAGGCTGTCACGGCATGTCCACCAATCATCCCCAGATGTTCGTTGGCACAAGTCCCTGGAAATATGCCTGGGAGTCAGCCAGACTGGATTGTGGACATTCTGGTAGATGAGCGTGGCTCGGGTGCGTTCCTTTGCGCGGTTGACTTCAGTTGCACACTGCGTGATGCAACCTTCGTCGATCAGAAGAGCACCCTGAGCAGCAGCACCTTGGCCAGGCACATCATCAATGGCAGCTGGAGAGCTCGCTTTCCCGGTGATCTACTTCCAGCTGGTAGCCAAAAGGTTTCGGTCACTGTAACTGCTGCCAATGATGCCGGTTGGAGTGCCAGTGTTCGCAAGTCGTCAGAGGACACAGACGGGCAAACCAAGACCTTGAGCTGGGACATGCCATCTGCTTCAACATCGCCCAGTGCCCTACCTGCCGTGGCTGAACTTGGTCACAGTTTGACGGCGTTCCTGGTGATGATGGAAGAGAAGCTAGGCGACATGGCCAGCACCATGTAAGCATCACAGCAGCGAATGCGCCACGAGTGTTTGAATTGTGTGCAGCACATGCAATTCCAACAGTAGCATATCAGCATGCGCACGACTTCTGTATCGCGCATGTCGTGTGAAGAGGCGACGCTCGGAAAGAGATGTCATCATTGAGCTCAGCCACTTCTACAGTTCCTAGCAGGTGGACGACGGAGCAGTTACAGCGGCTGTCGCACCGAGCAGAACGCATCGACTTGGCACAGGAGACTCTCAGAAGCTCTGAATGCAAAAGGCCGATGCTTTCATTTTGCTGTGCTTTTCTGACGTTCCTGGGCCAAGGGTGAACAAACATTGCGGTTGTTGCGAAATTATCGGTTTCGAAACAATCCATGGCCTGGCATGACGATGTTTACCTGTACCTGTTGCTGCTGCTTGCTTCCGCTTGTGAATTGTGACTACACGTGCGAATGCGCACATTGACCACCACCACCGCCACCGCTGCTACTGCTACTGCTGCTGCACTACTCCTCTCCTCCTCCTGCTGCTGCTAGTACCGCTACTCCACTACTCCGCATGCTGCTGCTACTAATAATAGTAATACACATAATGGAGCTACTAGCCGTAGTTCTAGTGCTTCTTCTCCTACTCGAGATTAGGATTCCGGAAGTCCCTGCCTGTTTCCTTGACCCGAGGAAGCTTGCAGGCGGCCCGTGGAAAGCCCGAGAGGTGCGAGAGCTGGTTGGCCTCCTGTGGCGAAAGGCTTGCGTACAAAAATCAGGTCATAGACAAAGAGAGGGCGGCTGCAAAGGCCCGTGTCATTCACCATGTGCCTCTCTGGGAAGATTTTTCGCAAAACGGCTTCGCGACTGCAGGTCTACTCAAAGACTTCGAGTTGTTGATTGAGGGCTGCATGTGGCTAGAGCATGTGCGGAACATGCAGTTGGATCCCTTGTGGGCTCGACTGTGTCATATCTCCGGTGATGGCAAGCAGAGTCAGGCTGTGGAGCCTGTTGGGCAGCACCCGGCTCGCGTAGTTCGTCTCTGGGCAGACAAGAGAGAAGCCTGGGCCGGAAGGTTTGATGCTCAGCTCGTGAGCATCACCAAGCAGGCTCTCACCACGGCGGGGCAGCTGCTGGCGACTGCGCGGAGCTTACCTACTGATGCAGTACGCACGAGTGGCTTCCTTCGATCGGCCCTGGTTCGGACGGACAGAGCGGAAAACCTACCGGATATCCGCACAAATACTGGCCTAGCCTGCCTTGAACCTTCATTTTGCACAGAGCTTCGCGAGCAAACGCTGCTGGGCTTGACTGCTCTGAAAAATTTGCGGACAAGCGCAGATCAGCAGTTGCGCAAGCTCAATCGAGCCCTCCAGCTCTTGGCCGTCGCCTCAACACAGACGGAGCACGATGGCACGGGTGCTCCAGAAGGAGGTGCTCATAGCTTTCCAGAGGTGAGTGTGACGGACAAGCTTTCTCAAACAGCTTTGGGCCTGATTCTCACCATGGTGATGCCTGTGCCCGGCACAGTGGAGCTGGGCGTGGTCTCCATCGGCGCATTGTGGCTGCAGGGTGATTCTGCCGGGAAGCACCTGGTTGTCGAGCATTCCCCCGGCCCGGACTTCGACCCATTTGGCCGCTTTCAACAGCAAGCAAGACCAAGCGCACTGAAACTCCTTGCCAACTGGACGCAGGATGTGCTGGATGCAACAAGCGCCCAGACAAGCGATCCTCCACCAAGCTCCAGCGAAGGAATGCCCGCATCTGCATCAAGCTCGCAGCTGCAGCCAGGGACGGTCTTGGTGCACAATGCCGCATCGAGAATGATCACAGCGCCTCGCCGGAGATTTAAGCAGCGTTGAAGTGGATGACAGAACACTGCAGCCTTATATCCACACCTGGCTTCTGTTTCTCCGCTTGCTCACGTCCCAGCATAGTAGACATAGCCACTGCAGGTGAGAGTCCTCGATCAAGGCTGGCCTGCTCTGTCCAAAAACAAGGTAAGCGAAAGCCTTGAAGAGAGAGCCACTGCTGATGCCTGAAAGGTCGAAACATTGCCGTGTGGGCGTACGAGAAGGTGCAGGATGCTAGACTGCAGTCGTAAGGAGATCTCCATGTAGAGGCGGCTGGATGTAGGGTTTCGGAGTGCAGGCCCTTGCAAAAAGCGGGGTTCCTAAGGCAATCGTGTGTGAGGGCAGTGGGTGTCATCCTTTCCACTGCTAAGGAGGCACATCCGATGGTCCGGCTGGTGTCACAAGCTGCTAGGTGGCACTTCGGCAAACTTCCTGATTTCCCTTTATGGTTCTACGGAGGTACCTTTGAATGCGTAATTCCGTGTTCGCCTGAAGTGCAACCCAGGCTGTTGTTCGTGGCTTCGGAGCTGTCGCTGGCAACACCTGGCAGGCCTGGCAGGGGCCTCTCGGTGATTGGTCTAACGGTCAAAACTAGGGTTTAGGGTTTGAGTCAAAACAGTTCGTAATAGTATACTACTGCACCCCCATACTACCCATACCTATTCAGAGTATCGAGGTCGCTACACTATGTATATATATATATAGTTTTCCTATGCTGTCTTCGTAGGCGGATTCCGTCGAAGTGGCCGTGGCTGTTCCTCCTGCAGATGTGGCGATTGTGCCACTGCCAAGCATGGAGGAGACTGAACATAAACAGGCTTCGTATGAAACTGGCTATGAGCTCGGGGTTGGACGGGCAAGCCTTGCGTCAGAGCCCTGCATCTTGCCTGCGAGCAACTGCTGTGCTAGTGGAAGGGTTTTCTTTCACTTTGACACGAAGCAGGACTCTTCCTTTGAGTTGGAGTTCACCTACGGGTTTGGCGGTGAAAGACCACTCGGACGGGTTCCAGCAAGAGCCGGCATGGCAGTCGCTCGGCTTCGGGATTAAGCTGCTCTGGCCGCTTCGGTCAGCTGTAGGAGGCGGTCAGATGATGATCTAACAGGAGCAAGTGTTGGCTGCAACTTTGAGACATGCGAGCACACTGCCAACACTAATGTTCATGAGGTCAGTTTCGTTTGCCTGGACGATGAGATCCACATCGACAACATTGACCAGGTGGAGCCTACCGCCGCGACTGGCAAACATTCAGATGAGCAGGCATCGGTCGAAACCTGGCACGGCATTCAGGCATGTAGTGGCTGTCTGCTGACTGGTTGCACGAATATCTGTAAGGAAAATGCAGAAGATGAAGACTCGAACGGTTGACTTACACCCATCCAGCGAAAATCATGTCCATCACCGAAATAATCCAGAGCCCAATGATTTGCCAAGGAACCGCATCAAGAGGATGCAGAGGAAGGGGCCTGCCCCGAGCCTCCACCACAGCAGCAAGCAAGCTCTGATGATGCTGGTGCTGTTGCTGCGGCAGACGGCGATGATGCAAAGGATGCTCCGCCGGCAGCCGGGGAAGGAACCCCAGACTCTTAGCTGCCAGAAGGCTACGGCGCACTCTGCAAACAGCTTGTTTGAGGGCATCTACTCTGGAGTCTCGAGCATTCCTGCAGTACTCTGCTCTTTTCAAGGAAGAGATTGCTGCTCCCAATGTGGCGGCACCTGTCGCCGCTCCGTCCCGGGTGCGCGTGTCCATGGTCCGTGCGTCCAACAAGGATGCGGATGCTCGACAGAAAAATTGAAAAAACTCTTCCATGTCTTATATTAATATTAATATCTACATATATATATATATATATATATATGTATATATATATATATATATGTATGTATGTGTATGTGTGTATATATATATATATATATATATGGTACCCCCCCCCCATGTACCCACGCCTTTCCTCTAAATCCCAGTTTTCGGAAGGTGTGGGTCCGCGGGATCCCCTTCGTCCCCAAGCCTTTCTCCTAAATCTCAGGTTCAGGATGGCGTGCGAGTTTGGGATTGGGGGCAGTGCCTGCAGATTGTACTTTATTATTTCATGTCATTGGCGGGTTCCCTCCAAAATAGCCCCGAATCATCCGAATCATATCCGAATCATTCTGATTCGGGCCCGGATCCAAGATTCAAGATTCAAGATTGCCCAGGGGTCTTGCCAAGGAATCTTGGATCCGACCCTTCATCCGAATCATCCGAATCATTTCCGAATCATTTTGATTCGGTCCCGGCGCTGGATCCAAGATCCAAGATTCAAGATTGCCCAGGGGTCTTGCCTGGGCATCTTGGATCCGACACTCACACATTGGATCCAAGATTCCTTGGCAAGACTTCTGGCAGTCTTGAATGATGGATCTTGGATCCGGGCCCGCGCCCGAATCAAAATGATTCGGAAATGATTCGGATGAAGGGTCGGATCCAAGATTCCTTGGCAAGACCCCTGGGCAATCTTGAATCTTGAATCTTGGATCCGGGCCCGAATCAGAATGATTCGGAAATGATTCGGATGATTCGGTTTCCCTCCTTCTTACTCGGCGTGTGTATTGTCATGGTAGTTATAACATCTGGTTTGTCATGAAGTATGCCAGTCATTATGCAGTCAATACTGTGTTTGTTGCTTCAGGAGATGTAAGTCCAGCACGATTCTGAGTATCGTTTTTATCATTTACACGTTCTAGCCATTCTAGCCCATTGTGCAGTAATCTGTTCAATCAACTTCATCGTCATTGCAGTTATCCTACCGTCAACACCAAAATGAACATCTTATGTTCCAGACTTATTTCCCGGCTCCCCTGCGCCTTCTATTGTCATGTTGGTTATATGCAACGTCTGGTCTTTTGTGAGTATGCCAGTCATTTACGTTACCATACAGCTGTGACTGCCGTGATTCATCCCGTCATTTCTGTTTTACTGTTTGGACATGTAGACTAGCACAGCAATTCCATCCCAGCGGCGTCGTACAACTAGGAAAACTGAAGTTCATATTGATACAACTGTTAATACGCTTTTGACATGTACAAAAATGTTGATGAACTTTAGTCGGCCTAACCACTAGTTTTATAGTTTGACGGATTGGCCGGATTCATTTGTTGGGCACACATATGACATATGTGCTCTTGCGATGTGATTACATATGTTGCTGCATGTTTCGTGAACATCTTCATGAAATCAACCCTTTCATGCTGTATAAGACTAGGCATGAATCTCTGCCTGAAGACGGTACTGTGAGAAGACCACTTAATTTATCGTTTTCGTCCGTTACCGTGTACGGAACTAGACGTATCGTCTACTTTTGTCTTGGACTGAAGCCTTGACTCAGGGAAATTTAGTGTTATATGGAAAATGTATTGGCATCGCTTACACTTTTCTAAAGGTACATGTATAACGTGTGTTGCTTCATGCTTGGATGGGGTGTCTCTAGGTGGTGCACCTTCACGTTTGTACGTCTTTAACTGGTGCTTACAGTAAAGAGCACTACCCAGTACAGTCACCGCAAAACTCTGACATACAGGAGTCTTTATTGGTCATCATGCATTAGGTGCGAAACATGTAAACGACTCTGTAAGAACACACAAGCTCCAGCTCGATAGGATGATTCAGATGATGCATAGGCTAAAGGTTACCAAGCTCAGAATAAACATGTAGACCTTACAGTTCATATCAATACAAGACAGCGACAACAACAAATTTATGTAGTCAGTACCGTACCAATTACGATATAGCTTAACATTTGCTTTTACAGGTCGGCCTAGTATGAAGCAGGGTGAACAGTAGCCACGGGACTAGCGTACCTAGGAAAGTTTGTTTTTCAGACATACCAATACAGGGGGAAATAAAGAGTGTTAGCTGGGTTACGTACCTAGGAAAGTTTTTATTCAGACATAGTAAGACAGGTGGAAATAAAGAGTGTTATCTGGGTTGGTATGACTGAAGCAATCAGAACGGTGGGTATAACCATAGTAGTAAAGACACTGGTGTAAGGAAGAGCATCATTGGTAAATGTAAAAGTGAAACTACACTTGGTGCTGGCATAGAAGAAAATAGTAGTTCTTTCGTGTACTTTGCATACAATCAAGAACAGTGGAGATTGGAAAGGTTTGTATTGCCAGGACGACGATCCCGCACAATTCAAGCGCAAAGCGTGGGTACATGAGGGGGGGGTAGCATATATATATATATATATATACATTGGTTCAACCCGTGCAATACTTTACAGCTTACAGCTGATGCCAGGGGCCATGGGTGGTTGACCTTGTGTGGTATGACGAGCACATACTAGAGCCTATCAAGTAGCAGCGGCAGCATTGCCCACAGCTTTTAACTGCGCTTCACTCGCGCAGACTGGGATTGTATGAAGCATCCGTGCTAGCGCGGGAAGAAGGACAGCGCAGTGTTCTTGTTGACAGAGCAGAAGTGAAAGATCATGGACGATCATGGAGCATCCAAGATAACACTGCAAAGTTACACTGCATCTCAGAACTATCTGGGGAAAGACAGGCCATAATTAGTGACTAGTGGGCCATGGCTGCCCTGCACGTGGTAGTGTACTTGCCTAGCCGTGCAGAGAAGACGGCCCATTTCTTAGGTCGAGGTCACCCTGCGCTTTTTCCACCTGGGAGCTGGAGTTGGTGGAAGCGCCTTGGTATGGGTGTGCCTGGGATTGCCGGGCTCTTGCGCTTGCCGGCTCTAGGTGAGCACAAAACGCTGAGTTTGTGCCAACATCAATTGGTTCGAGCAGCAATCTTCGGCGTATTGAATCGTTAGGATCATGTCCCACCTTTCCAGCCAAGGTGCTACGTCACTCGGTGGCACCAAGATCCCCCAAACCATAAGCCTTAAGCAAGACCAAGGCCCGCCGGAAGCAACAACAAAGCCAAACTTTCTCTGGTCTCGGCCCGCACTGGATTTGACAGATCCCAAGCCCTGAGCCTAAACCTCAAGAACTACTAGACCCGAACACCACTGGGCGGCGCACACGGCAGTGTGGCACGCAAGCACGAGCAGGTGTGACCCAGGGACTTTCAGCACTTCCCCACTGTAGGTACAGTAGAAGCCAAAAAGTTGGAACATCATTGGCCTCATGCCCTTAAAGTAAAGTATACGGAATCCTAGCATGAATCATCCTAAATCAATGTGCTAATTTTCTGTGCTTAATAGGTCATTTTTGGTCCATCAGGGAGATGATTGCAAGATTTTCCAACGGCTTTTGCGTGGCGTAGTCCTTTTGGGGATGCTTCCAGCGAAATAGATAAAGAAGCAAACCGTAAACCTTAGAATGCAATATATTACGTGAGTGTTATAGTAGCTTCTGACATATATTACGATACTTGTAAGTATGTAATAGAACTAAATGCAGTACAACACATGGTATCATAACGTCAAAGGAGCCCTGACACACTCCACTGCCCTAACCCCTAAACATCGTTTGTTCCACCTCAACCGAACCCATAACTTCGCCTGGCTTGTCCGAGTGTGAGCGCCGAAACCCCAAAACCAAGCCTAAGGCAGCGGAAAGCATCGAGAGAGAAACCCCTAAACCCTAAACCTGGTTTGTCCGAGTGTGAGCGCCGAAACCCTAAACCCTGCCAGGAGGGAAACCCTAATCAACAAAGGCATCATTTTGGGCGCTTCTTTCGGAAGCCGGTCGTAGTAGCCACAGTCGGCCCGGGAGAGATGAGCCAAAGCCGCAAAAAGGAGGGAAACGGTTGCTTCGGGATTGTGATAAGGGTTGCTACATGGGATCAGAGTTTGTGTGTTGGGATAAGGGCTCAGAGTTTGTGTGTTGGGGGGTTTTAGGGTTCAAGGGCTTCGGGGCAATTGCAATAGGCCTGGAGAAGTTTAGGCTTTGGGGTTTTGGCATCAGGTGCACGATTTCCCGAGAATAACGGAAGACTCGTCTTCCACATCTGATTCATTCGATTTCAGGCTTCAGGCCAGCATGTGGATTAAAAAGGACTTCAGTTTCGATGCAAAGCATCCGATGGGACATGAGCGACATGAGGGTATATAGATACAGTTCGGAGATCTGGAATACTTCAGGTTGGAATTTGATGTGCGTGACCTACCTCCGCTAACCAAGGCGCACCATTCGGCTCGAGGTGAGGCACGAGACACATGGGCCGGATGGGCAGCTTCGTGACAGGAGCCAAGGCCAGGGAAGCTTGAGCAATATTTCTGGGTTTGTTTTTTTGCGGCACAGGCAAAGTCTGCGCAAGAAGAGTTCTGCTGCTGGCAGCAGAGCCTAAACTCAACAATGAGTTGCGAACTCTATATGACCGGGACTTGAGAACAATCCTGTGGCATCCAAGTCGCAAAGGTCGGCTCAGGCCGATCCAGGTGACGAACGAAGCTATTGAGCGAGCCGCTTTGTTAGTAGAATTAGTAGAACAATAACAATAATAACTACTAGTAACTGGTATTACTATTGTTATTGTTGCTGTATCTTCGGTTGTTCCAACGCAAGCATACTCAGAACCAAAACACACTTGCATAGCTCTTGGGACGGTACCGTTGCAGTATTTGCATTTTGTTTGGAGTTTTCGAAGGATGTGGAGAAATCAGCAGAATAATCACCAAATGAATCAACCCATTCGTGTTTTCGTTGTGATTTTCATGATTACCTTTGTATGCCTTCAATACTTGCCGCACCTTGTCCTGGATGTCCAAAACATTGTGCCCACGTCCCTGCAGCAAAGTCATGCTGATTCTTTGTGTTGTTTTGTTCTCCCTGGATTATGTTGGGCAGAAGCCGAGGAAACACTGCTGCCGACATGAAGGCACACACCCTTACCTGTTATCGCACGAGGAATTGGCAGCCTTGAAACGGCGGCCAAACATGCTCGGACCAATGGTAAAAATCCTGCTATGTAATTGTGTATGTTTATATACACTGCTGAAGGCAAGTCGTTAGTCACGCTGCCCGGCGATCGTGAGGTCAGGTCGCTTCAGCGCTCGCAATTGTGTGCTTGACGTGTGCACTTTTCGCTAAGCTTGCTTTCTGGAGGAGAGTTGGCTAGCCTTTACCTCGCGGCTTCGGCAGGGCGAGAGGTAAGACATTACACTGTTAAGAATACTAACAGCATAGAATGTATGTCCTTTAAAGTATTATAATGCAACAAAAGATTTCATTATATTACCAATATGAGGTCGTGACAGCCAGTACATAATGTGTGGCGTATAGCGTAAAACAGTAGACTAAATAAGCAGAAAAGCATGTAGCATCATGCAACACAACATAATATGACTCAATATAGCCTAACATAGCTATACAATGTATTGCGCTTGATACACTGTATGTGATATGTGTATGTATATATGTATAGATGTATTACATATATGCTGTTCATATAATATATATATATATATATACATATATATATATATAAGATATCTAATCATGCAGACATATAATATATATATATATATATATACATATATACACACACACACACTGGGTATATGCATATTCGTACGAACATGTGTATGTCCATATTTATATGGTATAGCATCTTCGATATATGGTAGCATAATGTAATGAACCTCATCCGGCTCCAGGCCCGGAGACGTCCGTCAGCTCGGATACTTCGGACAATTATGGAGCCTTGGGCTGCAGCTTTCATTCGGCTTATGGCATAGTACAGCAGAATACACAATAATTCAACATCGCAAAATGGGACAAAATTAATGGAGAATAGTGGACAGAATTTCGAAAGCCGTGTCCTTAGAAAAGAGTAAACCTTTTAAGCTGCACACTGTAGTCTGGCTTTCAGAATTTTCGAAGATGTGGTCGGTGGGGACAGACCACACACACCCAAGGCGACCTCTTTGAAGTCGTTGCTGAAACTGCAGCGAGCAGTAGCGATCCTCGATTGAAATAGCAGTTTAAGCATCCTTGTTTCTTTGTTGTGTTGGGATCTGTGGGGGGACGATGATTCGATATGCTCTTTTGGATCTCCAAGGTTTGCAACGTCCGCGACCTTCAGCTTATCTCGTACGAGGGAGGTCTTTAGACGAGTTTCCCCTGACTGAGGGAGGCTCGGTCCTCGCGATTGGATTTTGGAATCCTCGGCGAGCTTCGATTCATGTAAATGTACTTCGGCGGACGACTGAGCTGGTTTTATTGTACCAAAGGTTCGGCCGAGCATCAGGGGTCCGGTACCTTATTTTGGGGTCCTTGTAATAATGATCCTACTATTTAGGGTACCATATTAGGGTCCCCTATTTAGTAAGAGCCTGTAAACAGGCAGAGCCAGAGAAAGCTCAGTCGCCTTCCCGTGCCAGACAGCTGGCCAAAGCATGCTTCGTCGTATCCACGCGCACCTCCGGGAGCAAGCGAGGAGCAATACAGCAGAACATGGGAGTTTCCGAAAATGAGGGGTACCTTATTCTGGTGTCCTTATAATGAGGATCCTACTATTTAGGGTATTATATTAGCGTCCCCTATTGTCGGAAACACCACCCATATAGAGTCCTTTAAAGGATCCCTTATAGTGCCCTTTTAGTAACCCTTTAAAGGAACCCTAAGGGTCCCCTATTTTCGGAGACTCCCACATGAGCTCCATGGAGTCAAAGATGTCAGGGTGTGTTCGTCTCTTATCTGGTCGGGGACTCCGCTTCTCCGATGCTCAAAGGGGAAAGAAGGGACCCTTAATGGGGACCTCTACCCTATAATGGGCTATATAATGGGTATGGAATAGCTATATTAAGGGTATATACCTAGGGGTCCTTATAAAGGGTCCCTCCTTTGACCCTGGGAGATGCTTCTGTCGAAGCTTTTTTGGGTGGCCTTCAGGCCTTGGGCCAGTGGCTGCCATCCTTTTAATCGCCCGGGCCCTGGCACGTGATGATGCTGACCGAGCCACCGAAGCACGACTACTCCTCGTCTTCCTCCCGCTCCGCTCCGCCACAAAATGCAGCAGCTGCTCCGTCTGCGCGGCTGATGCTGCTGCTGCTGCTGCTGCCGCTGCCATTGCCAGCTACCACCGCCCGCCGCTGTGGCACTACCTTTTGCGTTCCGGCGATAAAAGTTTTAGGTACATAGTTATCCGTCTCCCACTTGCTCGCTTCAGCAGCCGTTTGCTTCTTTGCTGCTGAGGATTTTCATCATGCTCTTGGCCCTGTTGTTGAGCTCGGGGCTGAGACAGCTGGAGAGTTGCTATGCCTATAAGCCCTTGAGTGGTGTAACAAGGTGTAACATAAGGATAGCTGTAGCAGTAGCAGAGTACACTACTACATGCGCTAAACCTTGGCTTTTGAGAGCTGCGTGATGCTTGCGAGCCAGCCAAAAGCCATTCATCGTAAGTCGAGGTGGGCTCACCCACCGTCCGTGCAATCCTTAGCTTCTCCTTTTTGTCAGCGTCATGTCGGCGGTTACGATCCGTCTTTCGCATGTGTGCGGCCACTGAGATCACGGAGGGAGAAGCTGCCGCAGGCCTTTCGGAGTTGGGTTCCGCGCAATTTTGCCCCAGGCCCCCCACACCTCCAGCCCACCAGGCCCAAAGCCAAGGACCGTATTTCAGGCCTTGTAAAGCCTCTCGAGGGAGCATAGCTTGTGGTGCCCGTATTGAATGTTATGAATGTGGCATATAGACTTGCAATGGCGCGACCCCTGGTAGCTACAGGGTCGAGCATAAGTCGGGTGTGGGGCTCGCATCGAAGCTGCTCTCACCGTAAATCGGGGTTTCCGAGATAGGGGTACCTTATTTTGGAGTCCTTTTAATCAATTAATAAGGATCCTACTATTTAGGGTACTATATTAGGGTCCCCTGTTTTCGGAAACTCCCAAATGAGCCGGGCTACCGGTCTATGGTGTCCATGTGCTGGGAAGGACACTTGCCACCGACGGATGCGGCGCAGGATCACTGGCTGCGGGGTTAGAGAGCCAGCGGCTTCTTGGGAGTTGACAGAATCAGCAGAGCCTGATAGTAAGCACTAAGCAGAACATAATCTGGGATTGCATCCTAGTGGTCCTGTGGCATAATCATACACCTGCTGGACTTGCTCTTTCCGAGAAAAGCCAAACTTCAGTGGCGGAGGGTCCTGAATGACTCCAAACAGTGCTTCGTTACCCCACGTTCCTCCACAGTGTCTACATCAGCCAGCCCAGAAATTGTGCGGGCTATTTGCTCCCTGACTCCAGGACATTAAGCTTCACGAAATTTAACTAAGCCCCGTGGAAGGACTTTCCACTGCTGGACAGCTGGCGCCCAAAAACTGCGGAGCCAGCTGGAGCGGTGGCACGGGCCGGATCCCGAGAGCAGCCCAGGATCCAGGATTTCTGAGTGTGGGGTTTCAGCGGTTGCTGGACACTGGGTTTGGGACTCTGCCGTTTGGGGTGCTGGATTCCGGAGTGTTCTCATTGGGATTCCAGGAACTCTTTGCACGGAGGCTCAAAGATTTTCAGGTTGAGTGATATGGCAGTTTCCGAAGATTGCGGGTCCCTTATTCTGGGGTCCTTATAAGGATGCTGCAATTTAGGGTGCTACATTAGGGTCCCCCATTTTCGGCAACCCCCATATGATCTGAGGGATGAGGTGGGAGAGATGTCATGCCTCAGGTCTTGTCAATAGTGACCTCGCTGGCACTGCCTGATGCTGCCCACCGGGAACGAGAAGGCACCCTTGAATTGAGCGCAAGGAGTATTTCAATGATGAGTCAAGCAGTCAAGCAGGATGAGATTCGGAGACCGTCTCGATGTCGGCACGGGTCGTCTTAGTCGGCGCAAACAGGTGAGACGTCGGCCGTCTTCTTCGTTGTGCCATGTACGGGTCTCAGTGAGCCCTTCCATGAATCAGAGGCTTGCTGAGGCCATGTGCATCGACTTAGACTTAAGTGCATTTCTCAGAATTTTTTCGACGGCGACGCATGTTCTGAACAGCATTCACTCATACAGGTCAGGGCCAACTTCTTTATGGAGTCAGCTGTCACCGACGGGCAGCTGGCCAAGTCTCTCGCAGGGCCCGCATGCTGACTCGTCAAGATCAGACGCAAAAAAATGTGGGCCGAGTGCTATGTATGTGCATGTGTATGTATGTATGTATGTATGTATGTATGTATGTATGTATATTCAGTCTTCTATGTATGTACAGACATACATGCATGCATACATATGAACTTATCATGCGTACACACTTACATATGTATGCATGCATATGCTTATGAAAACCATATGTACGTACAGAAATAGATGTACCTGTATTTGTATGTGTAAATGTATGTGTATATGTCCATGTTTATATATATATATAGAGAGAGAGAGGGAACCAAAGAATTTGAGTTTTTGCTGTCGACCTGGACTGCAAATCCAGGTCGAAGCTTCTGAGCTGCTGCATCGCGATGCAAGCGAAGCTTGCTTGCAGAAATCGTTTGGTTTTTCAGATTTCTGTGGGCAGAGAGGCGGACAGAGCCCTGCTTGTCGACACCTGCCAAACTCATCCTAAAGCCTTACTGAGAACACGTACAGAACCTGTAAACTCCGAAGTCGCTCAACTGGCCCCTCGATTCAATCGGTTTTCATTCAGCATGCTGAGGTTTCTCGCAGCTCTGTGCAGAAGGCTGTGTGCGTGCTGTTGCGATGCCCGTTCTTCGGCCTCGCGCAGCAGCGTCTCAGTCCCGTGACACAGGCCTCGGACTTACAATGCAAGTTGAAGCTGCGAAATGGTACTACACACACACATCCAACTGCGCAAATGCGAGTACCTAACGACCCGGTACTGTATTACGCAGGTACAGCACATGAATGCATGCTTGCATGCGCGCATGTATATCGTATTTCACGTTATGCCGAAGTATACGTAGTTGTGTTTGCCGGCCTTGCGGTGCTGAGACGGTGCGTTGATGATTGAAGCGGAGCCAGGTCTTTTTCGAACAGCGCGATTTCAGATGCACTGACCTCCTGCGCGATTTCGACACTCAGTGCCTCTGCTGCGGATGGCTTCGGGTTTGGGACACTGAAGTGGGTGCGGCATCTCCAGCCTTGCTGCAAACCTTTGCTGCCCTGGTCAGGCTGGATGCTGTGTCCTTTGAAAAGCTTCCAGCATCTTGGCACAAAATGTTTGTCGCACAATATCATCTATATACTCATATATATATGTGTGTATATATATATATATATATATATATATATTACAGTATATTAGACTTTTCTATTATGTAATATCATATGGCCATAAGTGCAGGGTCCGGTCCAAGCCCAAGGACACGGAGTTGTATTTCGGAGTTCATCACGCGCAGCTCTTCCGCGGCCTGCGGCACAAGCTGCTCAGCGTGCTGAAGGCGATCCTCTTGGAAGCAAAGGTTCTCGAGCCTCAGTCGCAGTGGCAGACTGCAACCCTGGGGGCGATCAAGAAAGGGGCCTTGATAATTATACTATTTTGGCGTTTCCTTATTATAAATATAGTCCAATGGGCCCCAAAACCCTATTCTAATTATGAAGGCCCCTATATCCGTTACACCTGTCTAGGAAGACTTGGGGGTGGTTGGTTCAAATGTAGTTGCTGTGCATGTCAATGCCTCTTCCGTCCATCGGCGCTTGAGTCACTTGAGGTGATTTCCGAAAGTGCCGAACAGTGCAGTCGGACCGTTTTGGCGCTGCTCTCCCTGCTGCCTGGGGGTCTCTGGCTGGGCTTCAACTCGGATGGCTTTGGAAGCCGTCACTTCCACTATCGGATCCTCAGAAGTCGAAGAGGCAGACTTTCAAAAAGCGTTTTGGGGTGGTATGATGCCTACATATCCCTACATCTTTCATAATCATGCCACATTCTCGGCACGAGACACTGTACCTATAGCTTCCCACTGCACCCTCTTCTGCAAAGAGTATGTGGGCTCGGAGTCTACTACTACTACTACTACTACTACTACTACTACTACTACTACTACTACTATTATTACTACTACTACTACTACTGCTACTACTACTACTACTGCTACTACTACTACTACCACTACTACTACTACTACTACTACTACTACTACTACTACTGCTACTACTACGACTACCACTACGACGACGACGACGACGACGACTACTACTACTACTACTACTTCTACTACTACTACTACTACTACTTCTCAGAAAGCTCCGGGGACTAAGGAAGCATGGGCTTCCCATCCAGTGCTTCGGCCCAAGGTGCGGTGCCGGGGGCCCCAGCTTTTAGGGGGCTTTCCGGTGAAGTCGCAGGAGGTCGGGTTCAAAATGGCTCAGGATCCAGAGTTCAATATTACTATTATTAAGATTACTATTATTATTATTATTAGTATTATTTTTTTTAATACGATTATTATTATTAAGATTTTCAGGCACCCTGGAAGTCCAGCTAAGCAGAACTGTTGTTGTGCTACTATGCTAGGATATGCGATGGCTATCCGCAGCAGTCGTCTGCCACGTAAGCACCGACGCTTCGAGAAGCGGCTGCAACTCTTCTGCCCCAGACCCTAGCAGACATCCCCAGAGGCAGCTCAAATGCCGTGGCTAAGGGGATGTTCTTCCTTCCGGCGTGGTTTCAATGCATATAACCAAGCCCTGAGGCATCCTGTAGACCCGTCGCTGCCGCCCCGAAAACTTTCGGAGAGCGGAGAGCTTTTGCTCTCCGAGGTCTTTCCCTACTTGGGCCTGCACATGCTGGACAGCTTGCTCCAGATGCGCGGGTTTCTCATCGGGACCACGAACCGAATCTTCGTCGACCGCACGGCGCCGGACCTGATTCTGGAGGCCAGAGTTGAAGACTTTGACAGCATGGGATCAGAGCAGTTACTGTACCGTAAGACTTTAAAGAAGCATAAGTTCATAACTGATACCATAAGACTTTAAAGAAGCATAGGATCATAACAGCTATTTACTGTAAAACTTATGTACTTTAACACAAAGGGGACTTCCAATACAGAGAATCCCGCAAGAACCCCGAAACCCCCAAAAGAGGAAGACAAGAGCTGCTCAGCGAGGAAATCCAGCAGACACAGTTAGAAAGAAGCACCTCCTGAGAGTTTTGCCGTTTATCTGTTCCTCCGACACCAATGAACAGCAGCATTTCAGAAGACTTGCGACATTGACCACGAAGGAAGTCTGCAAACTGTCTCAAAGTTTTGGCAAGCCCCGTGCATGTGAGAGCATCCGTGGAATGGTGGAATGAATTCAGCAGGTGCCCAGCACTGCGGCAAGTACCGAGTACAGCGTGGATTTCCTGTGCAAAGAGGTGAAGGAGTTGACGAGGCATGGCGCAACAGCACAGCGAAGAAGGGGGGCAAGTCCAATTCAACAGTTGTGCTCCCACAGGCATGTGATAATACATCACTATAAACAGACCAGAGCCAGAATGATGTGAGATGAATTGCAGGTGTACTGGCGCCGAGAAGGCAGGCAAGCAAAGCAGCGCATCATCAGCTACAGTCGCATGCTGTGCATTGACGGTGCATATGTCACGCTCATGTTTCTGAGGTTCGCCATGTACATAATTAACATATTTTTAGAGAGACAATGGCAAGTGCGTGATGTCTTTCTCATGTACTTGAGTAGGTAGGTAGGCATGTAGTGTTTGAGCTGCATGCCAGGACCAAACCCGTCTTGCTTTGGATTCCCCGCACAGAAGTGCACAGGTGTGAAGCACGGCTGAACGATGCCCGCTGTCTTTATTGGCCCAGCACATGCTTGGTAGCAAACAGCCGCTAATCAGTAGGGTTGTCTAAAGCTGCTGCATGTGCGGCCCTTTGTTTGCCACTGTTTTCGGATATGCGCAAGCGTCTGGGGCTATCAGTCGGGATCAACGACTATCACAAGGAGAGATTGATATATCCCGTGGCAGATGCTACAAGATGTTGCGAAGAGCTGCAACGAATTAACTTTCAGTGTTTAAAATGCATTGATGCTGACCGTAACAAGTTCGAGCAGTACCTCGGCATGTTCTGCGACCAGATCACTGAGGACCATGACTTTATCTTTTTCCAATTTCAACGGTCATTGCAAAGTCATGGGCGGTGAGGTTGTACTCGTATTCAAGGATGGAGAGGAGCAGACTGGTGAGCAGATCTTGATGAACGCCTTGATCGAGAAGCTTGTGCGTAGCAAGGGTAGCCATGATGCTGTCATACTTTGCCTCATGAACTGTTGCCGTGTAATATCCCAGGAAAGTGCTGACAAGCTTGTGAAGCCAAACAGCAGATCAACCTTGGGCAGAGCGTTAGTCACTATTTGGGCGTCAGCCTTTGGATATCCGGCCGAAGAGGTTCATAATCCAGCTGGCTGCAGCACATTCATGCGAACGTTTGCTGGGTGCATCGGTCATGATTTAACATTGTCTGAGATGTATAGCAGGATTGAAACGGCAGTGATTTCGCACGCCCTGATTTCGCTCCGACCACTACCTCAACAGCCATGCTGGTCTGCACAGAAGCTTCCCCAACGATCCGATTTCTTCGTCGCTGCATACCCCTCCGGCAGGCAGCTCGCTTCGACATACGGCCGTCAACTTGCGGAAGGTGATATGGCTGATATGACCTGCACGGATAGTGTGAGTGTCCGCGGCCTTGAACTCGGATTCTCGGATCCTTGTGAGCCAGCAAGCTCCATCCAGGTAATGGACTTTGCAGACCATGACAGACGTGAGGTTATTGTCGAAGACCAAGAAGCAGTAAAGCGGTTCTGGGTGCCCGTTGTATTTGTTGCAGCATCCACCTTGCATAGCATTTTGGTGCTTGCCTGGTGGATGAGGTTAGTCAAGCTACAGCGCAGCAGCCGTGACTCCTTCAGCCTTATGATGGCGTCATTCATGTGGGCATGCTTCAGCTACAGTCCGCAGGCAGCATACACAGGAGTGCACCTGTGTGTTCATATCAAAGCTGGCCAGACGCTGACCAGCAGGAGTGGAGCAGTTCGCCTCAAAGTTCTTTCCCCTCTGCTTCGCCGCACAGGCTTGGGGGCAAGGTTTCATCTACAGTGATGGGGTCGAGCTGGCGACAGGCTCCATATCTTCCGCTGCCACCATGGCCATTCTGGTTGGTTATGTTGTGCTTCTGATGGACTATGGACCTACCGTTTTAGAGGAGTGGCGAGCTCGTGCTTCTTTCAAGACGTCACGGAGGGCCTTCAACACATGGAGGGGTCTTTTCTTGGTAGTTTGCGGTTTGAGATTTTATGCCTGCCAAGCCGAATGCGGAACCGCCGAGCAGCAGGGAGAGAGAATGCATCACCTATGTCTCATTGCATTTATCTTGGGGCTCGTCTACACACTGGTCTTTGATTGTGATCCCACCTTTGTGTCACGGGGACGGGCCTTGCCAGTGGCTGGCTTTGCTCTTGCTTTCTCCATGACTGCGTTGCTGGCTGGCTGGTGCAGTGCATTCAAAGAAGGCCATTGGGTCATGCCCTATGCCCGGGGCGTCATGCTTTTCGTCCTCTACATGTCCATCCGCTCAACTGGTCTGATCTTCCATTGGAATTGGAAGTTTGGCGCAGATCCCGGTGGCATGTAGCAAGCATATGTGAGCATGACATGACCAGCAAAAAAGTAGCTGGCCCGGACATTGAAAGGCTTGCGTGAGAAGGGACGATTCCGGCGACTCGGGCTTTTGCTCAGAGGCCTTGTAGGCTCATGGCTTTGGGGGCTTCATAAGGTGCCAAGTACGGAACGAGGGAGTGTGGGTTAATTACGACGAGGATGACAACACCGATCCATTCCCCTATTCCTACTAACCACCAGCAAAGTGAACAGAAAAGGTTCGTGGCTCCGGGGGCACGGTGAGCCGGTATCCTCATGTCTCATTGCACACTGTTTGAGAGAGTCAGGGGGTGCAGATACCCTAAACCCTAAACCCTACAATCGCTATAGACCTTGCCAGGCTTTGTCCGAGTGTGAGTGTCAAAAAAACCCTAAACCCTCAACCCTAAACCCTACTGGTTTGCTGGCAGGATTGGCTGCAGAGCGCTTGCGCCCATCTCGATGCTGCAGCACCTCGGGAACTGTGGCAGCTCAGACACGAAGATCTTGGAAACCCTTCATGAACATGGGAGTTTCCGAAAATGTAGGGATACATTATTTGGGGGTCCTTAATAAGGATCCTACGTACCATTTAGGGCACCACATTAGGATCCCCTTATTATTTGGAAACTCCCATATGAGCCATTTGCAGGAGCCTTGACTCGGATCGGTGTTGTATGAAAGCGACTGTCGAGAACTTGCCTTCGCAATGCTGCTGCTGCTTTTCTAGGGATATCCCTACCTTACTGGGCTTCCTTTTTAGGGGCTTTATCTGGGATATCAATATCCCTATCCTTACTTTTTTGAGGCAACCGCCCAGTGCCAAGATGGCGGAGCAACCGCCGACGCAGGCTGGCTATCGGTAGGTGCTGTCTCTTCGAAGCCTGCGTTTGGCCTTATGCACACCCGGTTTCGTGATCCTAACATAGGAGGTCTTGCAACGGGGCTATGGTGTAAGCAAGAGGTTTTCCTGCATCGAACTGCCGCGTCAGGAGGATGCACAGGAGGATGATGAAGAGCTGGTGGCGGACCAGCACGTCCTGTCATCCGACAATGTCGCTGGGGCACGCTCCCCAGAGCTAAACTCGAATAATGTGGTTGTCTTGATTTCCACTTCACGCTGAAGGTTCGATGGTAACTACCACTAGTAACTACTATAGCATTATGTAGCATGAGCAGGCCGGGATGGCCTCCTTCGATGCAGAGGCCAGCAGGGATGCTTGTGCCACATGCAGCGGCCAAGAGGCCATGTCAATCCGTTTCAGAGGAAGCTCTTCTGAAACCGCGGCCGTGAGATGTGCAGGAGCTGGTTCAAGACGCAGAGGTGCGGGGGCGTTCAGACGGTTGGCTGCAGCAGTGTTGGGGGGCAGACATCAGGCGCAGACTGCGACTGCCACGTTTGCTGGTGCAGGCCGTGGCCAGTGCGGCTGTGCTCAACTCGCAAAAGGAGCTTCTGCCTCGCTGAACTAATTCTATTATGGTACCGCGACTTGTGCTTGCATCGTTCACAGGAGCAGCTGCGACAGGAGGCGGCCTGGGCAGTGACCCAAGCCTCGGATGCTAAAACTAACGCCCTTCTAGTGCTGCGCAGAGATGCTTCTAGCAAGAGGCTGCGGTTGTGGATGCGGATCGAAACGCATTCACCGGATACTGGATTCGCCTGTTGGCAGCTGGGGCCTTACTCTGTCACTCACTCTATCTCCTGGTGAATGTTCGCCTTTGCCAATTCCTCGGCGATACTTGGAGGCCACTGCGAAGATCGCAGGGCCCGAGCGAGATCTTACGGCGGGATTGGAGGCTTCGAGTGCGACTGTGTAGAAACGCTGACGCAGCATCCTGTGCACACTGGCCTTGGGGGGGCAATGCAACATGGGTGAGAAACGCGGGGCCACGGGCCAACGCAGCTTCTCACAACCGGCCCGGCAGGTGCCCTGGCCGCCATGCACGCTGCACGGTAACTCCTGCCTCCGTAGTTGCTGTAGCTTCGAAGTCTGTAGGAGTTGGATTCACCATGCCGGCAGGGCACGCCCATGGAGACTTGACGACATTCTCGATTGCATATTGTGAGTGAGGAGGTCCTTTGCATCCGAGCCGTCGTTCTGGCGCAGCCGGCAGTCTGCACCGTCGACTGCCAGAAAAGCATATCAGCAGCAATGAGTGTGTTGTGAGTTCTGCTTGCGCCTTACCCAGAAGGAGATAGCATCACCCCATACACGCACTCCTTCCGCACCGTTGGCCGGGTGTGGGGCACAGTGTGCACGGGTATTCCCAATGCTCCTTGGGGCCAACGCACCATGGGTGAGAATGGTGAATGACAGCAGGGCGATGGGCTAAAGCGCCTGCTGGGGAGCAAACCGTCCGGGAAGGTGCTCTGGGCACCATGCATGGTAACTCTTGCATCCTGGATTCGAACTCTGTGGGAGTTGGATGCACGCTGCAGGCAGGGAAGGCCATGGAAACTCAACGACACGAAGCTATGACATGTCGATTGCATAGCAGGCGTTTGCCCAAGCATCCCTCGATGACGGCATTCGTCGAGCAGGGCAAGTTTCTATCATGACGAGGTCCTGTATCCTTTGTATCCCAGTCGTTGCATGTTCTATTGTAGTCGACATTCCACGGCCGTGCTTTCTCACCTGTGTTCCAGGCAAGTTGCAAGAAGAATATATGAGTGTTTTTGATGCTTTGAGCAGCTGTGGCATGAAGATTTGGTAGAGAGCCACAGTTCCAGAAAGGTGCATCTGCCGGTACTGGGCAGACAAGTGCCAGGAACTGCTTCAGTGTCTTGTGAGTTCTGCTTGCGCCTTACCCAGAAGGAGATAGCATCACCCCATACACGCACTCCTTCCGCACCGTTGGCCGGGTGTGGGGCGCAGTGTGCACGGGTATTCCCAATGCTCCTTGGGGCCAACGCACCATGGGTGAGAATGGTGAATGACAGCAGGGCGATGGGCTAAAGCGCTTGCTGGGGAGCAAACCGTCCGGGAAGGTGCTCTGGGCACCATGCATGGTAACTCTTGCATCCTGGATTCGAACTCTGTGGGAGTTGGATGCACGCTGCAGGCAGGGAAGGCCATGGAAACTCAACGACACGAAGCTATGACATGTCGATTGCATAACAGGCGTTTGCCCAAGCATCCCTCGATGACGGCATTCGTCGAGCAGTGCAAATTTCTATCATGACGAGGTCCTGTATCCTTTGTATCCCAGTCGTTGCATGTTCTATTGTAGTCGACATTCCACGGCCGTGCTTTCTCACCTGGGTGTTCCAGGCAAGTTGCAAGAAGAACATATGAGTGCTTTTCATGCTTTGAGCAGCTGTGGCATGAAGACTTGGTAGAGAGCCACAGTTCCAGAAAGGTGCATCTGCCGGTACTGGGCAGACAAGTGCCGGCAACTGCTTCAGTGTCTTGTGAGTTCTGCTTGCGCCTTACCCAGAAGGAGATAGCATCACCCCATACACGCACTCCTTCCGCACCGTTGGCCGGGTGTGGGGCGCAGTGTGCACGGGTATTCCCAATGCTCCTTGGGGCCAACGCACCATGGGTGAGAATGGTGAATCCATGCATGGTAACTCTTGCATCCTGGATTCGAACTCTGTGGGAGTTGGATGCACGCTGCAGGCAGGGAAGGCCATGGAAACTCAACGACACGAAGCTATGACATGTCGATTGCATAACAGGCGTTTGCCCAAGCATCCCTCGATGACGGCATTCGTCAAGCAGGGCAAATTTCTATCATGACGAGGTCCTGTACCCTTTGTATCCCAGTCGTTGCATGTTCTGGTGTAGTCGACATTACACGGCCGTGCTTTCTCATCTGGGTGTTCCAGTCAAGTTGCCAGAAGAACATATGAGGGCTTTCAATGCTTTAGGACTTTAGGCAGTGTGGGATGAAGCCAGAAAGTTGCGTCTGCCGGTGCTGGGCAGACAAGTGCCGGTGCAACTGCTTCAGTGTGTTGTGAGTTCTGCTTGTGCCTTACCCAGAAGGAGATAGCATCACCCCATACACGCACTCCTTCCGCACCGTTGGCCGGGTGTGGGGCGCAGTGTGCACGGGTATTCCCAATGCTCCTTGGGGCCAACGCATCAGGGGTGAGAATGGTGAATCCATGCATGGTAACTCTTGCATCCTGGATTCGAACTCTGTGGAGTTGGATGCACGCTGCAGGCAGGGAAGGCCATGGAAACTTGACGAAATTAAGATATGACCTATCGTCTCAGTTGCACAATGAGTGTTTGCTGCAAGCATCCCTGGGTCAGTGCAAGGGTTCGTTGCATCGCATTTTTTTGTTGCAGCCGACTGTCCATAGCAGCATCTCCTATAAGTTGGATGCTTCTTGTGACGTTGCGTAGCTGTTCTTGTCAAGATCACGCAAGACATCGCCAGTCCTAGATTCAGAAAGGGGCATCTTTGTCGGCGCAGAAATGTGGCATCTGCTTTGTTGTGGCGGGCACAAGACTGCGGGTCCGCAACTGCTTCGGCGCCTGCATTGTGAGACGCTTGCAGTGTAATCCTGCCACACGTTTTGGCAGGGTGCGGTGAATGAAGTGTGCACGGGTGTTCCCGTTATTTGCCATTGCTCCCGGGGCCAGTGCGGGCGAACGACAGCGGAGCCAAAGGCTCTCACACCTGTTGAGAACCGAACAGGAAGGTGCTTTGGAATTCTTGCATGCGTAGCTTCGAGCTCTTATGAAAATCGGGTGCACCCTGTGGGCAGGGAAGGCCCACGGCGATTCAACAAGATGATTGTATGACATGGTATGACATTTTGCGTGAGGCGATGCTACAGATCCGATGATGATTCCGATTGCATGACGGGTGTTTGCTGCAGCATGTTTCAAACCGAGCAGATGCCTAACAGGAGGAGGCCCTGTATCCTTTGCATCCCAGTCGTTGTTCTGGTGGCAGTCGGCAGTCCATGGCGTTTTCTAGGCTGGATGGTCCATGCAAGTTGCGATGTTGCACGTGATGGTAAATTGCCAGAAGAACATATGAGTGCCTTGCATGCTTTGGGCAGCTGTGGGACGAAGATTGGGGAGAGACCTAGTTCCAGAAAGGTGCATTTGCCGGTTCTGGGCAGAAGAGTGCGAGTGCAACTGGGCAGCTGCTTCAGTGTGTTGTGAGTTCTGCTTGCGCCTTACCCAGAAGGAGATGGCATCACCCCATACACGCACTCCTTCCACACCGTTGGCCGGGTGTGGGGCGCAGTGTGCACGGGTATTCCCAATGCTCCTTGGGGCCAACGCACCATGGGTGAGAATGGTGAATGACAGCAGGGCGATGGGCTAAAGCGCTTGCTGGGGAGCAAACCGACCAGGAAGGTGCTCTGGGCACCATGCATGGTAATTGTTACCACTGGTAATGCTTGCATCCTGGTTCAACTCCGCAGGAGTTCGATGCACTCTGCAAGCAGGGAAGGCCCATGAGGCATGTTTTTGGGTAGGAAGTTCCTGCCGGGAAGCCTTTACAGTAACAGCCAAACTTTCACATGAAGTTCTCTTGAACACTCACTATATACAAGTTGAGCCATTGTTGAAACCGCTCTTCGTATGGTTTTTGCGGTTAAAGCCGGAGCGACGGATCCCAATCGGCAAAACGCCATCGCTTTGTTTCGGTTTACTCGCGCAGTCCACGTTTTCGCGAGTCGGCTGTATCCACGCTGACCAGTCGGCGCGATTGGAGGTAGCCTCGAAGCAGCAGAAGACCGAGTTGAGTCGATTCGGCCTTCCTTTTTTACAAAGATGGGTCTCGCCGTGGCCTTAGCCGTATCTTTTGGCACATTGGCAAGTAACGATCCAGCCACTAAATAATTAATAGCCATGTTAGTATCATCTCACCCCATGCTTCTCGATCTCACACCATGCTTCCCGATGACGGCCTTGACAGCTGAGGCGGACCCACGGAGGACAGACGTGGTTGCAGGCTGGAGCCAGTTTTTCAGGCAAGACTTGCAGTGGGACCGTTGATGTCCTTTCTGAAGGCACACAAGTTGCCTGTGCCGGAGCGTCGGCCAAAGCCGCCGCGCGAAGGCCACGGTATGTGCGCCACGACCTGTGTGTGCAACAACCACTCCAGTCGATGCCATGCCTTTCCCAGGTACAAATTTGCAAATGGCGATGAGTACCACGGTCAGTTTCGCCGTGGTATGCGGGAAGGTGCTGGTGTGTACACCAGCAAAAGGCCTGCAGCTCGGTCAGCGTCCGCTTCATGCAGATGTGATCGCTTCGAGTCAGGAGTCATATGCAATATGACGGCCAATGGTTGCGGGATCGTCGTCACGGCACTGGAACGCTGACGATTGAGAGTGCTGGTAAGGCAGGGGGCAGCCAGCAGTACATATACTGTTCAATTAGTATAATACTATACTATGACATGTTATACTGCGACATGCCACAGTCCCAGTCCCTGCTGAACCGATCCTATGGCGCAGGTTCTGTACACCTACGATGGACAGTGGGTTGCAGCGTCTTTGCTGCACGTGGCGGGTCTTTAGCGAACCTAACTTGAAGTTCCAGTCTTGTCGCTGTCGTCTTAGGGTATTCCTGACGTGTACTGATGCAGCAGACACTAGGCCTGGCGGCAGGATAGTCTTCCAAGTTTCCACGTGTGTTTGCAGCCGTGCAATAGTCGCAGCTCCTCTTGGTCTTGATCAGTTAGGCCGCTGTATCACACATGCAGATCTTACTTGATTCTGGAGCTCCTCCCGAAACCCGCGACAAGGCTGTAAGACCATAAGAGGAAAGGGTCAATGCGTTACGAAGTCGCAATGGACGCCAGCAAGCGGGATGATGATGCAATTTGCTCTATGCCGGTTGAAGCTTTTGCCGGCCAAACGTTCAAGGCTGTTCATGCTTGAGAGAGTCTGAGAATACGAACAGAATTCGGCGATTTGTATCAGCGTGGTAGGATGCTGATCTGCCCTGATGCTTAACGTTCAGAAATTCAGTGCCCTCACTGGAAAGCCGATGCTGTTCAGTTCATCGCCGAAGGACAAACGGCACGGTTCGGGAAGCTGTGTCCGCAACCATAAGGACCAGCAGAGATTTGCCGCATGCCGTTCAGGTTTCGTTTCAGTGACGACGGCTTAGGGCGTCTCTGTCACAGCGTCTCTTTGTCAAACCTTGTTCCCGCATGACAGAGTTTTCGGATTGGTACATGGAATCTGTTGAAAGATCTGCGGAGCTTGTTAGGGCCTAGGGCTTGCGATGTACGACTAATGTAGGAGTCAGCACCCCGCAAATTCGAAACCCTGCCATCAACTTCAGAGTTGAAACCTTACATGTCAAAATTCGGAGATGGATTTGGAACCATGTGGATTCACTGCCCGGCTTTCTGCACCAGGAGAAGTATTCCGGCCAGTGGTCGCAGAACTTCTACCATGGAGCCGGGGCTGTCAGACGGAAATGCGGGCGTTTCAGAGGCTTTTCTCATCTTTTCTGACCTACATAGAGTTTTCCGCCATGCTTCCGATGATCTGCATCCCTATCACTTCTCCCACCACTGCTGCTGCTGCTGCTGCTGCTGCTGCTGCTATTGCTACTACCGCTATGCTACTGCTAGTACTACTGCTGCTACCACTACCGCTACCGCTACCGCCACGACGACGACGACGACGACTACTACTACTACTACGACACGACCACTGCTACCTCTACTACTAGGACGACTACTACTGCTGCTGCTACTAGTCAGTCTTCGTACCGCCACTCCTTTCTGCTCCTGCTCCTACTTCTGCTGCTGCTACCACTATTACTACTACCTCTACTACTCCTGCTAGTCCTAATGCTACTACTGCTACTGCAGCTGCTCGATGCCATCAGCAAACTTTCCCCGGTTTCTGTATGACAATGTCGCAAGATGCCAAAGGCTGGAACCTTTGTGGATGAGAAGGGCACGCTGTACGAAGGAGAGTGGCGACATGGCGGCTGCCCCAGAAGTCCACTGCCCTCTACAAATCAGACTCAGATCAGATCGGCCCTTAGGCAAGTTCCACGGCGTGGGAAAGCACATTTGCCGGGGTGAGACCTACACCGGCGCCTTTGAAGTCAGAGACCCAGCTCTTTGAGGCATCGACGCTGCACAGCTACCAAACCCTGCAAGGATGGAGAGCGCCATGGCATGGGACAACTCGTTCGTGGGGAAGATTCAATTGCACAGGTGCGCGGGCACATGGAATTTGACTGAAAAATGTGTAGTAGATGCATTTTTCACAATGTGGACGAAAGATGGCCTCGCTGGGTGCGTGAGTGGTCACCACCATTTGCTGCGCATGTTCAATCGGGAGAGGACTTCCTCGGCGCGGAAAGTCTTTACGCTGGTCAGTGGCCGGCGACTGAGAAGCGACACGTGGTGGTGCCATGTGTTTCTTTTGTATGATGTTCTACGTCTGTGCGAAATCGACGCAAGATGAACTTTTCTGAGAATCTCGTGCCCTAGGTCAAAAAGCTAGATGCCCTACCTGCAAAAAGCTGAGGCGTGCTGGACAGCGCCATGGACAAGGCACCAGTCCTTCTGGCGTAAACATAGCCGACAGCCTCGTACGGCATCGTCAGCGACTAAACTTGTATAGTATATAGGGCGAAGTGATGCCGCGACATGAGACTAGCAAGGGCATCGTCGGTCACATTGCCCTGAAATCTGGGAATCGTTCGTCGGTTGTCAGCTTTACGTCTCAGGGAGATATTGTCATAAATGTCGGGAGCCCACTTGCTGGGGACCTGCTGCAAACTACGACTTGCTCTGAGCCAGGGCCTGCGAAGCAGCTGTTGTTACACCAAAGATCTACAGCTATGCCAGCAAGGCACACTGATGTTGCAGGTACAGCTATCTATGCCGGTGGCGAGTACGAAGGGGACTGGGCCAAGCTCTCAGAACCGCGCAGGTCTGATTGGAAGAATTCCTCGTATTCTGATCCGAGAAGCTGCCTAAAGGTCCATGGGAAGCGCCATGGACAAGCCGCCATCGCCTAAGATCGGAGTCCAATGAGAAGTCGCCCTATCATGTTCTCAAGGTTTCGGATTAAGACCTGAACCGTACCACTGACAAGACTTTTCCGGACAAGAAGTCGTTCGATGGACATGGCAGAGCTCCTGAAGGCATTGCAGTCCCGCAATTGTGTGAGGTCCTGTCGTGCAAGGGCTTTCAGTTGGAGGGCCCCTGGGCGGAGGACCTGCCGGATGAGCACTCCCGGCTTTCTTGTGGCTGCATAGATGCAAGCTAAACAGGAGTCGCAAGATTTGTAAAGTACTGCTTGCTTTCAGGATAGCGGAGGAAGCAAGGTTCCAAACCTCTCTTCGAACTACTAGTTCTAGACATATTTGCCGCTATCGTTATATGTTAATAATTACTACGAACTCTAAACGTCTGTTGTATTAGCCATTAATAACAACAAAGTGTTCCACTATAGTACACTATAACATACATTCAATAATCAATGACCGTTATAGTTATTGTCATCATTCTCACTGCTTTTGATCTCGGCCACTGGCGAGCCAGGTCCGGCACTCACATGGTTTTCTACCCAGACGGAGGGAAGTACACAGGCCCTCACCTGAGGACTTGTACAGAGGGTCTAGGGTTTAGGGTTTCGGTGTCAAGACTAGTCACTAGTTCAGAGGCATCTATGCTGGAGGAAAGGGAGGGAGGAAGGTTTGTGCGTGAGGGCAGGACGGAATCATAGTTTTCTGCTCCCAGGCAAGATTCACCTTCATCCAGCAGTCGTCATGCACTGAGATATGGCCTTGCCCTTCTTGACAAGCCTGTCTTCATCTGCCCTTCTCGAAATGACCGGAGGCGAGCACTGCAGCCCCGACAGGCTGGGCATGTAGAGTGCTACTGGTAAGAGTGTCCGGAGCTTTCCAAGCCTGATCACAGGTCTTGGACGGCTCTCTACGCCCGGCGGCCTGGTCCGTGTGCACAGGGTAGCGATGCCAGGTTTTCTTGATGCTGCAAGAGATTCTGCGGTGAGATATGGCAGCTTACAACAAGGCCTGACTGACTTCTTCCCCTCTCACGCCTTGAAGTGTCCGAACAGTGAGAGGCTAAGCCGGGTGTATCAGTCCGAGCGCGACGGCTTGCAAGGCCATGGAACATTGCGCCAGAGGGCCATGGCATCATGAAGGAGCCCGATGGGCGCCTCTATGAAGGCTCTGCTTCTGTAGCAGCTATTGCGATGCATCAGCGTTCTGGCAGTGGCAGTCATAATCCACGTGAGAGTCGTCTGAATGACGATGGTAACAGCCTTGCTTTGGCTGTTCTTGGGTGCTGGTCGATCGTAGCATCTGGACGCCCCATCGAATTACTCAGCTTAGATTAGCATGAAACGAACCAGAAGATGCGGCACAATATCAAGACTCTGAAAACCCAAATGGCTAACCCTGCACAAGCAGCAGCAGCAGCTTGCTATCAGCCTTGAGAGAAGATACTAAAAAGCAACGACATCATGCAGGGTATTGCAGGGTCCGTAGAAGTGCAGTGTCTTTCTGTCTCCGTGCAAGCGAGGCCGCTTTGAGCGTGGAGCCCCCCACGGCCGTGGATATGCCCTTAGCCTGGGCTCCAAGTACGAAGGCCGGGCGGACGGTCGTTCGTGGGGCCGTGCGGAAGAAGGATGCCGGGAGTTGTTGGATTTCGGGCGCTTTACGGTTGCGAAGGCGGAGTGCCTGGCCACGCAAATTTGTCGCGGGGAAGCCATATCAGTCTCAGAGAAGCTGCATCATTGCTTGCTTCTGATGCGCTGCTAATTATCATTCATTCGGAGAATGTGTCGAAATGTTCGAGTATTGAAGCATGTTGGTTAGTGTCCGTGCAAGTGTGTTGCACCAACGTTGCGGCTGGGTTTGCTTTTTGGTGCTCATAAGGATTTAGCTATGCATGCTGATGTCCTTCCCCCATGTTTGTGTCATACCATTATTGTGCGTGAGCGGCTTGCTGACATGTGTTCATAACAGTCGCTTCGGGAGTTTGGGCGCTGCCATCGAAAGCAGGTTTAGTTGTTCTTCAGGTTATGCTTCCTTTCGGGCTGCTTCTGGAATGCGTCGAGTTTCATGCTGTCGTCCAACAAACGTACTCGGGTAGCAAGGTGATGGAAGGAATTGGCCGTGTGGTCTTTGCAAAGCAGCTCGAACTCAAGCCGAGGTTTCCAGTTGGGTTAGGGACCTCTTTGGCTGTTTGTTCGCACTGTTCTTTAAACCATGGAGGGAGGACCCACTATGCCCTGCTGAGTAATCTCATTCACACATTGGCGCTGCCTGCCAACACAAAACCCTTCCCTGGTCAGGTGAGTTTGCCTGCGGAGAGCGGCATGGGTCTGGATGGCGCCTCGTAGAGACCGAACAGGATTCGTAAGTGAGGGTCCGCCATGGCAATGTGCATCATGCACAGGGAGTTGTGATATGACGTGCAGAGCGAAGATAGTATAACTCCCTCTCGTCGGAATGGGAAAATCACACTCCCTAGCCCAAGACTAGACTATACGTGTGGGATTGCTAGCGACTCGAATGACTCGAACGGCTACGGCAACGACTGATTGTCAATTCGTCTAGATCTCTGGGGTCTCCTTGCGTTTTGCCACTCGCAATCGCCAACCTCTTCGAGCCTCACTTGGAACGTCCGTTGTGAGAGATAGCAGTATGGATCGGAGAGCGATCCCCCAACGCACAAATCCGAAGACTCAAATGATTGGCATATGAAAGTTTCACATCCTGGGTAAGGTGAGCAGAGTGTCGCCCGACGTAGCCGTGCAGAAACTGACAGTGTTTGACCTATGGAAAAACACCCCCAAGCACCACTCAACCCCTAGAATCCCTAGAAGCTACCTTCACTGTTCTGGGAGCATCCCTGTCATAAACCTGCAAAATCCTTGGCTCTCTGGACTGTTTAAGGCTGCAGAGTGTTTCCGACCAGCGCGAGCCTACGAAGCAGCCTCAGCCGTTTCGTGCAGATTCAAGGGTTTTCGCTTTCCCGATGCTGGGACTAAGAAGGGTTCAGGGTTTAGAGGTTGTGTGAATGAATGCATCTTGACAGTTCGCGACGACCCACCACAGGGATTCCCTTAATCCGTGACAAAATTCCCTTAATCCATCCCCCGTGCACGCGAGGCACCAGGTCGGGTTCTCGGGTTGATGGTGACATCTGAAGTTCTATGTACAACACACGCACTCGATGCCCATGCATGAGCATTTATGTGCCTGCAGGCTCATGATGCCAAATGCAACTTCATATGTTTCGTATCTATGCTGAGGCAGCGACAGACCTTGTTTTCGGGGGGTTCGCAGATGGGCTGTGCAAGAGCACTCAAGAACAATAACTTTGTGCTTGCACCTGGTTGTGGAAGGAGAGTAGAGAGACAGCTCAAGGCAAGAAGGTTCCGTGTCAAACTTGAAGGGCTGGTGTGCCAAGGCCTGTGCACTACGATCGCGGCGAGTGAAGAGCTCGGGTGCTGGGAAGTGGTTTAGGGGGTTTGGGCTTCGAAGGTAGCTTCAGAGTGGCACAGTGCGGAGCCTCAAGCAGGTGCGCAGCTAGAAGGGGCATCACAACTTGCAAAGACGAGGCATTGCTCTACAAGAGTCACGAGCACGCTGAAAGTTTAGTGGAGCGAGGCGGTGTTCCCTAGCACTGCACAGCTGTCCCTCGTAGCTTCGGCATTAGGCAGCTGCGAAGCATAAGACTTGGTTGCCACTCAGAATCACACGGCGCGAGTTCACCCGAGAAGTATACCCGTCCAGATGTCTATTAGAGGTGTGGAGCAACTCCCCGTTTTCTGAAGATAAATGACACTGCTTTACGGCTCCGGCAACTGCATTCAACCTCAGGCTTGGCTGCCACGGGAAACTACTGAACGAACGAAGACTTCGTCAGTAGCATGGCACGGCATTTTCAGACTCAAATGCACATTGCCTGGCTTTCTGTTACAAGCGCTAAGGTTGACTCCACAACCATCCGAGCAAGCAGAGCCCTCATGTTTTGCTACAGCTGTGAGATGCTGTGAGTGTGCCTTGCATGATTGGCTGAATTCTTCTGCAAAGCTACGGAACTTGCTGCGTATGACGAAGGGGCAGCCTAGGCATTGTGTGGCCCTGTTTGTTGTGCAAGTTTATTTATCGGTAGGGAGCAAGTTGGCATAGGCAGGCCATGGAAGAAGACTGAGGACGAACGGCGTCTGCCTGCGAGCCATCTGATTTGAGGGCCGGAGCAGACAGGGTAGACAAGGCGGTACGGAGATGGTGTTTTGATAGTATGCACTCATACACGGAGCTGTAGGAGACGAGGCACAGTTCATGCTCAGGGATCTCGAGAATGCCCTCATCTTCACCTGCTATGCCTCACTGGACAAGTCCTCGCCATATGCAATTAGCTATTGGCAACAGTCTTGATCTCCGTGAACCCCTGCGTTGCTCTGGAGAGATGCAGCGGAGGTTTGCTGGGCTGCGCCGGTTTCCAGCTTTGCTTCGGGCATTGCGGTTCGTTGCTAACCTCACGCCTGCGAGATCCCAGCATTTCTTGAGTAGTTGGTGTTGGTTGCCCACATTCCAAAACTTGAATCTGATTTAGCTTGCTGACCTTTCTTTGTCAATTGCGACGTCGAAGCTGGCATTGCACCAATGAATCAACACCCGCGGTGGCACGAGTCCTCACCGTGGAGCTGTAATTTACCGCAGCACTTGTTCGTTCGGAGATCTTGTGACATCTTGTGGCTTGTCTGCACTGTCCTGATTCCCCCTACCTTTACCCAAACACTGAACCCCAAATAACATTAAACTGTCCGACCAAGGCCTTTCTTCCGGCGAAGGGTGCTTCCGGTGTCCAGGAAGAAGGACCTGTGCTTTCTGGCAGACGGTTCGAAGTTGGAAGGGTTACGTTTGAAATCTGTGTTCTGTGGTCTGCATTATTACGAGACCAGGCGAAGCAACGATAGGGGACCTGCGGGCAAGTCTTCTGAAAACAGTTGCGACGTGACGGCGGAGCTCGAGCCCAGGCAGCATGTTGGCTCTCAGTTTAGAAGTACTGAAGACGTGGCTCCATGAATTTGTTGAAGTGTTTTTGACCACCTTTCATCCCCAGGAGGCGGTGTGGATGTCACCGCGGCCGAAGCAACGGAAGAGACGGCTGCAGAACAGCCAAGCAAAATCGCACTGCCCCTTGATTATGCAGCTGACATGTCTGGAACTGTGCTTTACAACTGAGCTCAGGGAGCTGCATGTCCGATTGTCGGTATTTGTGACAGACTACCGGTAACAAGGGCTTCTTGCGTTCGACAGACGATGCTCATGCCAACCTTTGGAAGCACATTGTTCTGTTGGGGGGGGGCGTTGGCGATGTTCTTTTTTGTCATGTCTACTTTGTATTGTGTCGACTTGTTGCGGGTGGCTTTGCCCGAATCGTTATCGTGTTTGTCGCGTCTACTGTTGTGTCGGCTTATACGGCAAGAAACTCAACAACTCGTTTGCAATGTCGTCTTGGTTTTCGACATTCCAATGCTCTCGACGGCGGCTGGCCTTCTCATGGAACGGTATATGCAAATTTCTTGTCGTCAAGGCAGATAGGCATGTGGCGAGTTACAGTGGTGCGCCAGAAATGCATCACTTCCTGCACAGGCCCAACACTTGTTTGGACAACAGAACGCCAGGTGCGAGACACGCCTTCTCAGCTTGCGCTTAGCCGCAAGCTCCAGCCACAGCCACACCCCAGCCTGCTGCTATCTTCTGCTGCTAAGAGCCGTGCCCAACAGGAACCAAACCAAGTTGAGTGAGGCAAAGGTTTCGCGGCTTTTGCGCGGCATCGAGTTGAAGCTTGGAAGGGTAATGCCAAGGAGTACCAAAACCCTCAGGCAGAACCTAACCCTAAACCCGGCCGAGATTGGCCGAGTGTGAGCGCCGAAACCCGGCCGAAACTGTGTCCTTAGCGGCTCAAGCTCGTGGGTGTCCAGAGTGGATTGCTTCTTCACCGAAGGCCCGACGATTCTGATTTGGTAGCTGCAGCATAGAATTCAGGGTTTTGGGCATCTAGGTCCTCCTAGATCATAGGTTCCTTTGCAGCGAGGCTCCTGTAGCAACTTTTGGTCACAACCGTGGTCTTGTTCCCGAGAACTAAACGTGGGAAAGGTCCACTTTGCAGAGCTTTGTGCCCTCAGTCTGCAGAGAGGCTGCCCTCGTCATGGCGTCTCCAGTGAAGCAGCGGGAGGAGGGGTCATGGAGTCGTTCTTATTGAGTTTACTGTTTGCGGGGTGATGCCGGTAGACGAGCGATGAGCGATTTATGGCTTCATCGGTTTAGTTAGGTTGTTTAGTTAGGTCATGCCCGAATACGAAGGTTGTAACGCTTGCGGGTGCTTGCTGCAGGAGGAAAACGAAGAGCCATCACCTAAAAGTCCAGGCTCAAAGATGCCATGGCACCTTTTGTTCGGGCTGTGTTATGGGATGTACCTTACAGAAGATGAAGGTACTACATAGTACAGTATAAGAGCGTATGACAGCGACGATCTGCAACAGCTACTGTAACGAAGAAGGTCGAGTTTGCGGTTGCTCCTCGTTCTGCTTCATATTGTCAGGCTTGATCGATTCGGGCATGCATCATTGCAGTAAGACTTTAAATTTGATTTAGAACCGTCTTCGCCTTGTGTTCCTATATTGTATGGCAGTTTCCTCCTGGCTTCTCGCTCCTTTGTTTCTCCTGCACACCTTTCCCAGTGATTTCGTGCCGACGTGGAAATGGATGTCAGATTACAGATTTGTCATGATTTCAAC